CGTTTGAAAAATTATTGTGCTAACTTTTTTTGAAAAGAAAAAAATAATTGTCAATGATTGTTTAGAGTTATCACAAAACCAATTTGGTATAGCAAAAAAATGAGAAAGTAGAAAAATCAAAAATGAATAATACATTACTTTTTAGAGAGAAATAAAAAATTCGTTTATAACTTTTAGAACATAGTTTACTTTAACTAGCCAAAAATCAGTTCCATATTTGGTCAATTTCAGTATAAAATTAGTGAATTAAAAAAAAAGTCTCTGCACATTTTTACTTTTAGAAAGACCTTTATAAATAAATTAATCTCAAATACAAAACTTCACAAATGAGAAACAGAATTAAATCTAAAAAAATTACAATAAAATCTCAAGTCAGATTACATTCGTAAAACATGAAAAATATTAGTTTTTGCAAGATATTAAACATAAAAATAAGAAATATGATAAAAACATATTTCATTTGTGTTGTTCTTTGTTAGTATATGTCTCTTAAACACACATCAATACCAAAATACTTTGAACGTGTTTAAAATGTTAAAATTCTGCAGAAATTTATCTATTATAGACAATTTTTTCTCATGTTTTTTTAAAACCCAAAAAAATATTGTTATCAAAATTTTTACTTCATTTCATAAAAGATATCATAAACAAAAAAAGGTATATTTTGTGTAATTAAAACCATATAGGCACATAATACTTCTATATTACGGAGTTTCTATATTTAAACCAAGTGATGTAGAGTAAAATGTAAAGTTAAAAATATACTAAGTCATCATTATAATTTATTGGATGACAGTTCACTAGTTTATAAATCAAAAAGAATTGTAACAATAAATGGATTAGAGAATATTAATTATTAGTTAATGTTTATAATATTACTAAATAGTTATGTTAACTTATTAATATATATTACAAAAAACTGAAAATAAATAGTTATAGCAGTTTAATCATGTCACCTATAAAATCACATATAATAAAAAATAAATACAAAAACATTAAACTAAACAGAAAGAATTAAAAAACATTTTTTGGAAGAACATTTATTTCCAACAAAATATTAGGATTACTTAATATATATAATGTAACTTAATGGTTATAATGTAAACTTATATTTGGTCTGGACAAAAGGGACATTCTTAATAACACACTTATGGTGGCCGACTTCCTCCGTGTCATGAATTTCATGGACATTGTTTAGCCCTGCTAATTTTGGGGATAAGGAAGGAAGGAAGGAAACTTATATAAAACAATTTTCATTAAATTTAAAAAATTACAAAAAATTAGAGAATCATATGTATGCAGATGTTACACCAATAAACATTTCATTACAAATGGTATTTTTAAAAATTGAAAAGCATATAAATTTAATAAAATGCCATAATTCTTCTAACAGATTACTCTTATTACTAATTGAAGGAATGTTTAAAAAGCGATAGTTCCTATAAAGTGTAGGATTATTAGCAAATTAAAACACGCATTAAAATAGGAATAAACACGAGTATGTCAACTTTTGATAGAAAGAAAATGCTACTTTTTTTTATTTCCTTTCGAAACTGTGCTATCTTCAAATAGTAATATAAAAAATAATACTCAATTTTGCAAGCTTATAAATCAAAGCTGATAAAATTTATTCCACAAATTGCTCTTTACATCCTTCAAAAATAATTAGCTCAATTATCACTGACAGTCTGTTGAAAATTAGTTTTTTAATGAAAAATAATTCAGTTTACTTATTTTTAAATACAATGTTCTATTGAGATGAAATATTGGAAATTAAAAATAAAGTGACAGATTATCAGTAATATTTTAAATATCAAAACACAGGATGCCGAAAAGGCAATCTCTGACATAAATTCTTTATCTAACAAGTAAAACTATTTCATGAGTGATAAAAATTTAGCTTAAAAATCCCAGCTTAAGATACTATATAAAGACACCCATATTAGAGTTAAAAAATATTTTTCATGATCTATAATTAAAAGAATAAATAATTATAAAAACAAATCTATTTAAATGTAATTTATTATGCTGTAAAATAGGTTATTAAATCATTACTGCATTAAACTAGTTTATGCTTCCTCAATAACTTTTATTGATCTATTTTTAGCTTCGATAAGTTTAAAGATTGTTTAATGATTAGGAACATAGGTAACAAATATAATGTAAACATAACCATTACAACTAACAGGTCCTTTAAAATAAACAAATCTCCTAAAATCAGATTTTAAGCTCTTTATAATGCCAAAATAAATTTGAAGAAAAAATCTCTTAGTAAACATTGGTATTCTTAAAATGGATGGAAAATTGCAAGTCATTCATCGGAATAGCGTAGCATTGTTCCGAAAATTGCATAGGTAGTGTAATCAACAAAATCAAGTAGTCTTACAACTATAAACATTTTCATGTTGTGTTGTCTAGACTTTTAAGCTTCTTTTGTTTCTGTACAGTCTGTTAAAAATATACATAACCACAATAGTAGCTAAAAGTTACTTAATATATACATAAGTCATAGTACTACTACGTTTCTGGGGAAGGTAAAAATACTATCAGCACACATAAGATTTTAGGTACGTATTAACATTGAACCTACTACCGCAATATAAGCAGTAACCACTACCACAATTAATTAGCATCACTAGCGTCAACAATAGTTTGGTGTTTTTTTACAGACCCCGGAAATGAAGTAGAACCAAAGTCACAATTGTTTTTCTAACATAAGACTACACTCAAGTTCTAATGCACTTTACTTTATTAAGCAGGTGTTAAGATTTAACAGATTGTTCACTTAACAATAAAAATATTTTTATTTATAATTGGCAAGAGTATCTTGTCAGAGTTGTATCGCTTATTATCATTAATATTTTACTCAAAAAATATACATTGAAATTTAACAAATTAAACTTATTGAAGGAATGCAGATTTCTCGAATTTGCTTTATACAAGAAAGGATTATGAAATTCTGCAAGATTTCAGCCTATGCTTTATTAAAATTAATATTAATGTAATTTCATAGAAAAAAAACAACACATTAATGGTCTGAAAACCTCAAAGTCTCTTTCGGCAGAAAAACAGTAAAAATATCAGTAATCTATGCATACAAAATTTGAAGTAGTTCCATTAAAGGTTAATCCTAAATACACATAAAAGAAAAAGTTCAACTTTATTTTAAGGAAAGTTAATTTGATTTCTTACTTGAGTTGTACAATTATGTTGATATTTGAATTTCATTGTCTTCTTGAAGAAGCATTTATAAAAATCATTTTAGCATAATTCTGCATCAAATGTCAGCAAAGAAGAGCAGTATTCAGATAATGAAGATGCATAACACATAATAAGTGTTCACAATTTTTATAGAAATTAATGCACTGACTGGTGACATATGTGACTCAAAACATGAGGCTTCAAGTTATATTTGACTCAAGAATATACAATAACCTCTTTGCATAATGTAAATTCATTGTACATCTAAATACAAATATACATCAACTAACAATAGTTTGTATAACACTTTACAACAATATAATGTAACTAATGATCTAAAGTTATTTACGAGTGCATCTAAATTGAACAACACTAACAAATAATATATATAAATATATATATATTTATAGTCATGGTGGTTGCTATGAATAAATAAGATTAACTGGTTAACTTGTCATTTACACACTGGTTAGAACATGCTTTTACACTTTTAGTAAATAAATTGTTAAAAAATGAGATTAACAAATGGTTACCTTTCAAAGAAACAAGAGTTACAGAATTTTTTTTTCTTCAAAGATGCATAACCTTGGAACTGCCATGTACTATTCGATGTTTTAGTGTAATTTTTATAAAGCCCGTGAAACATTATTTTAAATATTTAAATTTTTTTTATTTATATATACTAAGAATGCCCAAGTATGTGGAAAATTTCAATTTATGTCATTATTTTGGAAATAGTTTTGAAATTAGAGGAATAATAGTCAAAAAAGAAGAAATTGGACAATTTCAGATCACATAAATAAAATTTGGTTTTATAATTCTTTTATCATGGGCAAAATTTATAAAAACAGGCAATAAAACTATTTTACCTTTCAAAATGATGAATGAAAAGTTTTGTTCAATCAAATGAGTTCACTTTTAATATTTTCAATGCAAAACATGTCATCAGCAAGGTCTTGATAAAATGAAAAGATTCACTATTTAAAAAAAATCAAAACATTTCCTTGTTTAAAAATGCAGTAAAAAGTCGCTAATTCTTTATTATTGATGATTCCCATGATAATTAGCAAATAGCTTACCAATTTGTTAACTCGTGCCTTGCTGATCCAAGTAGAAATGTAGTCAATATAAAAACAGGTTATTTTAAATTTTCCCTCTTGAGTTAGCTATTCTTTTAAGTAGTCTACAGATAGTTAAATGTTTATCACAGAAGAAATATGAAGATTTCTGTACAGATTTGTTTTTATAAAACAACTAGTAACAGATCATAATATGAAAAAAAAAAGTTTACAAGAATAAAGGTTTAAGTGAATGTGACCCAATACAATATAATAATAATAAAAAAAAAGAAGCAGAGGGAAATAAAATTAATGTCGGAATAAAAAAAAAAGTAGTGGTTTGCAAGTATTTAAGAGAGAAATAAGAAAATGCATTGTTTCCAAACTATAAGCAATTATTATAAGGAAGAGGTTAACTGTCAAGTGGTACAAAAGAGGAACCAGTTTAACTGTCAGTTAAGTGGAACAAAAATACATTCATTTTTTTAGTCCTTAAATAAACTGGTTTTTTATTACCTTTTTTTTTTTACAAGGAATCTAAATATATGTATTAAGCATATAAGTTAATTTTTATACACATTACACTAATTACTGAGCCTCACACACTTTATATTAGGGTGGGTTTCAAATTTGAGGCATTTTTGATTTCTGACAAAAGAATATTTTTATTATGGAATTTAACAGTCTGTTGGCTTAGATGCTTGTGATTTCCAGAATACATACGATTAAGAATTACATAAGAATTTGTTAAAGGCTTTATTATCTCTAAATTTCTAACAAAGAGACATTTCTAGCAAATTCTAGAAAATGGACAGCCCAAAACAACGAATTCAAATTTCATTTTCTTATTTTTCTAATTGCCAATAAGTAAAATTACTTCAAAACACTTTTGTAATAAAAAAAAAATTTATAATAAATATAGAACATATCCTAGATTTAAAAAAAAAATTTCCTGGCATTATATTAGTTGTTTTGCGTCGTCAAACAGAAGTGTCTGATCTGTTAGTTACTGCCAGGTCTGTTACCAAAGATAATCCATTTTAAATTTACTGAGTAGATGATACTACCATTTCTTTTAATATTGCTTTTATGATTCAGGATGTGGAGATAATCATTTTAAATAAAATCTTAAAATGAAGAATACTTTTAAAGATTTTAGAATTCTAAAAAGATTAGTATTTTTTTATGTTTTCTTGTCTGATACTAACTTTTTAAAGTTAATTACTGAAGTTTTATTAACTGCTTGCCATATACAAGTCTGTAAACCATATTTAAGCCATGATGTTTTAAACCAAAAAAATTAACACATGGTAGTAAAAAAAATTCAATCACGTAAAATTGACCAGTCAGTTATCACATAATGTATTTTTTAATTTGATGACTTCCAAGTCTAAACTTTAATTCAATTCTCCTTTGGTAATCCTTAATCTCCTCCAATAAGTCTCCTTAAGTCTAAACTTTAATTCAAGCTTAATGTTAACCATAATACAATAGACATACACAAGAATCAATGTTAATCGCCAATAATGATCAATTTAAAAACTATTTTAGCTTCAAAAATGCCTCAAATTTGAAAACCTTTCATTAAGCAAATCAATCCCTACCATGCATTTTACTAGTTGAAGCAACAAAAAACAAACAGAAAAAAAACAGTATAAATATAAGCATTAAAATTGCACTTAACACAAGGATATAATAATCTGAAAGGTATCATAATAAAAATACTAGTCATTTTAAAAATGCACATAGTTGGTACCCATAATCATTAGGATATAACATAACAATGACCACAGGATTGCCAATTAGGTATCTCAGTGTGGTAGGTATCCAATTAGGTATCTTCAGTTCAGTAACACAAAAATTTTTAATTTTCAACGTCGGTAAAGATTGATGGCTTGTTTAGTTTTTTTTTAGGAGAATTCAATTAAAAAGATAAAAAAATTATTGAATTTATTTTATTACGTAAAATGTTTAGTATGCAGCACTGAAGGTATTTCAAAAACCAGTTTTTAACATAATAATGAATTCATTTTCATTTGAACTTGGTCCACCAATTAAAAAAATTTTTGATTGCAGCATCCAATGTATTTGCACATAGACTAATAACAAATGTTATCGTACCTTACAGATTATACATATGAAATACATCTCATGTTTTCAGATGTTGCTTTTTTGACTATTGCAAATTTGTTTCTCATACAATTATTAGGTAAAATAGGAGGGAACCAACGGCATTTTATTCTTCACCTATAATTCATTTTTAATAAATTAAAAATATTTGAATTAATGATAACTCAAACCGCATGCAGATAACCATCAACTTTATTGAAATTCAAAGATGGTCCAGAAAAAGGAGAAAACCAGACTAAAGAAAATCGGCCAAATACTGATCTCAAACTGCGCCAAGGGGAACGTTTCTGCCATCTCACAGATTCTTTTTTCAACTGTTCTATGCCCTGGAAAACAAAAATAACAAAGTTAATCATGTTTAAAGACAGGTTTTATAAGAATTACTGAAAATTAAAATTCTTTCGGAATTATTACTTTTTGTTAGTAACAATTTTTGACAAACCTGTAAAAATTAGCTTAGGTGAAAAAATTGACAGAAAAGTAATATTCCTTGAGAAAAAATATTTAACAAAGTTAAACATCTTTAAAGACTTGTTTATTAGAAATTTTGAAAATTACATTTTAGAGATACTTATCACTTTTCGTTATGAAACAATTTTGAACAGATCTATACGGTAACTAATAGCCTTGGTGATAGAAAAATGAGAATAATAATATTAGAGGATAATACTTTTAGACTTCACCTAAATTTTACTTTTGTCCCTGAGCCACTTCTAAAACTTTAACTTCATTCTAGAACATCAGAAACTGTATAAGATATAGAGAACAATATTTTATATCTGTTCTTTTCCTCAACTGTGTAATACTGAAAAAAAAAACCAATTTATGCTGCAGGAAAATATACATATACAGGGTGCATATGGTTTTTGAAAAGTGAGTAAAGGTATTTACTTTTGATTTAGGTTTTTTTTTAAATCCTCAAATGTACTTTTTTTAAAAATTTTTCTGTTTGCCGCAATGTGTTTACTTTTTAAAAAGTGATCAAAAATATTTTTAGAGAGCTTAAAGGGTGCTTATTTTTTGTTGAAAAATTTTGCTACATACCTCGATAAATTTCCCCCTTTCAATCTAAGTTAAGGGTTAAAATTAAATAAATTTATGTTGTATTAAATATAATAAATACCGTTTCATCGTTCCAAATAGCTTGAACTTGAGTACCAAACATAACACAAGTAAAAATTGCAAAGAGTAATGCTTCAAATATCAGCAAAATTAACAGAATGACTGTAGCAGGAGGAGATTTGGTAGAGCATTCTAAAAATAAAAAATAATAATTTCAAAAGAAGTTTTCTTTAAAAAACAGAACAGATAGTTATTAGCAAATTAATACACAACAAATCAAAAAATTAATAAGTATCTGACTTTATTAGGCAGATTTTTTTTTTCATTATAGCTTGACATGAAAATTGTAAAATTTAGAACTGTTAAAATAAAGCCTTGATAAATAATTTTGGATATTGTATCATTTGTTTGAATGCAAAATTTAAATTGGCCACTGGAAAAAGTTTATATGCTTAGTTCCTTTTTCAATAACAAAAAATCTTAAAAAAGAAAAAAAATCAGTCAAATAATAAACATCTGTGCAAGCTAGTTAACATTTGATACATTGCAGCATTTTTGCTTTGTGTTTTATATAGAAACAATGACATTTAAGTAAATTATTCAACAAAATAAAAGTTTTTTTTTTAAAACAGTTATTAAAGAACCAAAATATTTAATATCAATGGCATCTTACGACTTATACAAATTTTGCATTATAGTAAATAACAGTTTCTATAAGCCTTGATTACAGTCTGTATATAAATTTTTCAAAACTTTAAAAAATTTCAGATAACTTTTCATCTTTTATGATATTGGATAAAAAACTTTGGCTTTACTACCAATAAAATAATGTTACATCGTTTTTGTTAGACAAATAAATGCTAAAAGGATTTTTTCTATTTTGATTGATTAAATAACAAAAGGTTATAGGTTCGATCTCTGTCAGTAGTCAAAGATGACGATCTCATGCATATAACCTATGGCAGTAATGTCATGGTCTGCGGGGATCGGCCAGTTTTTTTTCATTTGCTGTTGGTCGTTCTTGCATGGATTATGACGTCATCCGGTATCTGTTTAAAGAGTATTTAAGTTTCTGTTGAAGACAATTATTTTGTTTTCATTCTTTCTTTTCGTTACTCATTTGTCACTCTGTTTGTGAGAGTATGTTTACCAGTGTAATATGTTTTTTAAAATAAATTTGTTATAGAAACTTCTTTTTCTTATTTGCTTTGTTGACAAGCAGATACAACGATATTCTGCGACAATCTCAGAGGTCAGCTTTCCCCTTTTTCAAATTGGGACAAATTTTTAATAAGTACAATAAATAAGTTTTTTTTTAAAAAGGAAGACATTATTTAAAATAAAAGGACTAAGTGAATATCCGGGTTTTTATCTAATATAGCAATGTATTTTTTAGACAATCATAAATTAATAGAGAACACATGAACAAGATGCAAATGTTTTATATAATTTTATAAATTAAACACATTGACAATTAAACACATGTTTAGGTTGATAAATTAATATTTTTATATGACAGGCAACAAAAAAAAAATAAAATAAATAAAGCTTTGTATCAAAATAATAAGAAACTAACAGTATGTATGTCAATTTTCAGGAGAGTATATTCAAAATTTTATAAATTAAGTTCATTCTAAAAATTGCTTAACTGAAAAAAATTAGGGAGTGCATGTTAGCTGAAAATGAAATAATGCTTACTGTTCCAGTCACTGTTAACACACATTATGAAATGGCTGATAGCAAGAAAGAAGGCATGAGATGATATCACAGCTATGTAAAACTGAGGAATAAAATAGACAATTAACTTAACAAGCAACAACTTAGACTGAATAAAAAAAAATCAACTGTAATGTCTATAGGCAACATGTTCACACATCACTGTTAACCCACAGAATAATATCAGTTATGTAAAACTGAGGTATAAAATGGACATCAAATTTGGCAAACAATAAATTATAGTAAATAATTTATTTTTCTTAATAGCAATATCTACTTGCAACATTTCACTATTAACATATGTCAGAAAGTGGCTGATAGCAAGAAAGAAGGCATGAGATATTAACCAGAGCTATATAAAACTGAGAAATAAACTAGACAATTTAACAGACAATAATATAAACTGAATAAAAAATTTAAAAGCAATTCAAAAGTAATATTTATAAGTAACAAGCCTATTTAAGTGCTGATTCACAGTCTTCGCCATCAAACTTAAGTGATGTCTAGCTATAGTAAATGGCTATACAGTACAACATGAGACCACTTACAGCGTTATATGGTCTAGTTAGATATGGAGCAAAATTAATGGTTGCCAACTGTAACAAGGCCACTAAATACAATAACAAATTATTTTTAATCACACTTTTTTCCTTTGGAAATGCATCCCACATAATTTGATTAGAGTTATTTTTCTTGTAGTAATTATGGAATAATAAGGAATATTTTATAAGTCATATTTGTTCACATATTTATTTTAAAAAAGAACTTCAAAATGTTTACCAAATTTTAAGAAATGCTTAAAAAAAAAAAGCCACACAGTTTAAATAACAGCTTTTTCCATACATTTAAATAACAGCTTTTTTTTTAATCGTTTCAAATTTCGGAAAATAGGCCACATGTTTTAAAAAATGGTAATTGTAAAAATGCTACAACTTGCCAATGGCTAGTAGCAAAGTTTCCTAATTTTGCTCCAAAACTGTATGAGTCAGTAAATTACTAAGTTGTACCATCCTCGCAAGGAGTCAATGATGCTTTACATATGTGTCATTCATGGTTAACCATTTTTGAGGTGGGAATGTTTAAAATTTTAGTTCCTGATCAGGTGCATTAGTTTGAATTATCTCCTAACTCATAAACCTTATATATCTAGACACTACTTTTATAAAAACTGCAAATAATTACATATGTCAGTATTATTTTCCTTCAAGAAAAAAAATAATAATGAAATTTCACAAGGTTAAAAAAGAGCAATAGGTCTAAATGTATATTATAATGTTGTGCAATATATGGAAGAACTATCTGCACTAACACTAGATTTCTATGAGTCCAATCAAGTATTTAATACTTTTGTAAATACAGTAGAAAATCTTTATACTTCGAACCTTGAAATGTAAGGTTTTGCAAGACATATAATTTTGACAGATAATTTCACATAATTCATTGCATTCTACTAAACATTGTAATGTATATTAAAAACAAAGGAATATTTTAATGTTTTAAAAATTATTTTTAGTTGCAAATTACTTTAAAACACAAAAAACATGCACTTAAATATTTCTTAATTATTGAAAAAAAAATGAATTATCTCAAGAGCATTAGAATTGTCATAAAAAATAAATGCATCAAAATTTTTTTTTTTGATTTAGGGATTGCAATCTTTTTCCAAATTTTTTTTCAAGCAGCTGGTAAACAGTTAATAGTTTTTAATAATTTTCGAAAATTTATTGAATTTGACTTTCAGCACTTTAATGTGGTTTATGGAGAATTGTGTTACATAGATTTTTTACTTTGCACTAATATTTTGTACGAAATTATACTTACAGTAAATAAAACAAAATATTTCTGATTCTTTTCACCAACGCAGTTGTTGACCCAGGGACAATGATGGTCCATCTTCCTTATGCACCTCTGACAAACACTGCAGTGATGGGCCCTCTCAGGCTTTATGCAGCAGCACTTTGGACACTTATATACAACTTGACCATCACACAAACCCATTTGCTGAATAGTTTCTTTAGTTGCATTCCCCCTGGGAACGGCACCCTTCATAAAAAAAGAATAAAAACATCAATAAAAAATTCATCAAAAAAACATTTTTATTTTTTTATTATCACCCCCTTAAACCATTAATATTGAGTTTCAATACGTTAAAATCCAATCATTAAATCAAAAGTTATTCAAAATGTTTCTTTTTTTTTGCACACTGTACATGAAAACCAGTGAGTCATATGCTCTCCTATTATATTAATATAAAAATTTTAATATTTCATATAGAAAATACTCCTATTTCGTCTTAATTTCAATGAAAGTTTTTCACCCAAATTTCAGCAGATTTTTTGAAAGGGCTATTTAAAAACAATTTACTTCCCAATATAATTAGTAAAGGTTAGATAATTTCCAAGATCTTTAGTAAATTTTATGTTAAGAACGAGAACGATCGATTCATACTTAAAATGTTCAAAATTTTTTGTTTCTTGATATATATACTTGATATTTAAGTACTAAAAATAATCATTAAAAGATTTTCTGGGAGACTAAAGTAAAACTTCTTTTTCACGACAGTGGGATCGATAACTTCTTAATTCACCTACACATTTATTATTGTTGTAATTTAAGTTGCACCAGAGATTTTTATGCTTAGTTTTATAAACCTATGTTATTTTGAGTAGAGAATATCGTATTTCCCCCTAAAATTACTTTATACCAATAAACATTAATATTTTGCTATTACTGTAATCAGAGCCGGATTATACCTTTCGTAGGCCCTAGGCATAGCCGTTTTAGGGGCCCTCCCCTCCTTCCCCCACTCATCCTCTCTTTTCAAAATATATGCTAAAATTTTCTTGCATATTTTTTTTTACATTTTTATTAATATAGATTTTAATTTACAAATTTGTTTATCGAACTATAAGATAAATTTAATTTCGATAGTTATTAAAGATAAACAAGTTTATCTTTAATAACTATCGAAATTAAAGATAAACTTGTGAATACTTTTCCTAACGTTCACATTGCATTAAGAATATATTTGTCGATTCTTGGATCAAATGCAGAAGGAGAAAGATCTTTCTCCAGATTAAAATTGATAAAAAATTATTTGCGTTCAACAATGAATCAAGATCGTTTGGCATCGCTCGCACTTATGTCTATTGAATACGACATTTTGCGTAGTTTGGAATTCGACAGCATAATACAAGATTTCGTTGAATCCAAAAATCGCAAAAAAGTAATATATTAGATCATAAGATTCTGCAAAATAATTTATTACCGAAAAATATTATATTTTTATTTGTATCTTCATAATTTTGTGCAAAATACACTTGTTGTTTTTAAAGCTAAATTATTTTTGTCAACAAATTTTTTTCTCCCAAGTTTTTCGTAAGCCCCTGAATTTCGTAGGCCCTAGGCACGTGCCTAGTGTGCCTATAGGTTAATCCGGCCCTGACTGTGACTGCCCGTACTTGAATAATTGTGTTTTATACGATGCCATTTTAGTTGTTTCTTTAAATGGCATAGCTGCCAACACAGATAGAAAGAAATTCAGTAGATTTTACGAAATAATATAAATTTCATGACAATTGTTGCATAATGTACTAAATATTTTACACATAGGGAATTTTAGGAATTTTTATAGTAATCAAAATAGAAAAACTGCAATATTTTCCAGTTATGATTTCCCATTAAATGAACTTGAATTGTTATGTATTATGTTTATTCATAATTTTGAATAGTAATACGAATTTAATTCAAAGGTAGTTAACTGGATTTTGTAAATTAGTCTCGCTTTATTATGTGTTAGTGACACTTATTTAAATATTCAAACAAGCAATAACCTATACGAAAATTATATTTCAATAGGGATTTTTTTAGGAAACTTACTCAATTTTAGGGAATTTTCTAAAATTTACAAAACCCAGGAGAATTTTTATTAAACCAGTAGACCAGGAGAAACTGTCAAAATCTAGTAGTCTACTGGAAAATCCAGTAGAGTTGACAGCTATGAAATGGTAAATTTAAAAATGGTACAGATTTCATAAAAATTTTAACGCAAAAAGATTTGTGTGAGGTGTATTAACAATGAGAAGCAATAATTTGTTTATTAGCATGTCATTGAAAAGCTTGTAATTGAATGGTCAAATAAGAGAATGAGTTTATAAATGCAATAATAATTTTTAATGAAATGGCATACATTGTATAGAAAGTACATTTAAAACATAATTTTAACATCAGCAGTAATAAGGAAGAAATAAAAGATTATTATCAATTTATCTCCTAATTTTCCTTTACAAGAAAAATTTAAAAGATATTTTTCCAAACTTGTGGAAAAATGTAAGAATTTTCTTAACGATTCCACTTTCTGTAGCAAGTGGTGAACATTCTTTCAGCAAATTAAAAGCTATAAAAACCTATTTAAGGTCTACAGTTACACAAAAGAAATTAAATTCTTCTGCAATAATCTCTAAGAAAAAGGAAACATCAAAAACAATTGATCTTGTAAAGTCTATAGAACTATTTGTGTCTGATAAAGCAAGAAAAATTGTTTGATGTTTATGCTCATATATATGTAAGTGTATAAAAGATTATGCTCATTTAAAAATATTACTTATAATTGATGTTTGTTCTAGAGTACTTGAAGTGATATTCTCTTTAATTAAACTTAACGGCTTTCTTTTTTAAACTTGAAATTTTTATTTATCTTGATATATTTCTTAAATTACCATTTAGGGTTGATATAGATTTTATAATTTTCTGGCAGAAATATACAGCGTTATGACTTCACCAGAGTGACTATTGACGGTAAAAAAATAGTTATAACTATTTTTAAAAAAAATTCTGATTACGCCATTTTCTGTTTCGCCCGGGGCATGGTAACGTCTTCTGCCAGAACTGAAAAAATAGTGATTGGTATAATAATTTTATCTAATGGGATATAAAGAATATATAAAGTTATTCTAATTTAATTTATAGGATAGGCTCCAAAAGCAAATAATGCCTATCTTCTCATTCCAGTATTATGATAGAATGAAAATTTTTGTAATTTACATAGTTAATTTGTTTCTTAAAATCAAACACTAAAATTTAAACTCCCTCTTATGGGATAGTTTAGGAACATATATTGTTATTTCAATTTTATTTACGGGTGTAAGAATGTTACTTTTTATAATGAGAGATGGATACTAATGGTTTTAAAGATTGGTTAAAAAAGATACTTTTGCTTCATTTTTTTTTAAAGCAATTAAGGACAAACACACATACTTAAATGAATTCAATAAAACTATAATTATAAACTTAATGATTTAAATTATCATTTTCCCACACTTTTGCAAAAACTATATTATAAACTGAAAAACTTTAACAATAATTTCAGCATTTTTATTTTTTAAATATTAAGCGTGACTGCCATGCTTTAATATTTAGTATCTTCTCCTATATATTTCTGACATAACTGTCTTTTTGCTTTGTCACTATCTGAAAATAAGCCTATTTGTGATCAAAAACCAAATTTAATTTTTACAGAAAATTTAATTTTTGAAAACTTAGTATATATTACTAAAATACAAATATGGTTACACAGAAACGAAAAATTTTAAACAAGAAACAACACTATAAAAAAAATTTGTATAATGTCAGTTAGTCAGAGAAATAATTCTGAGTTGAAGACATTGATTTTTAAAAAAAAAAATGGATTTCTGCTTAGATTGTGGGATGTTAACCCATTCCTTCTCACTCCCGTGAAAATGACGGGGTGAGGTTTTGCCCTCTGTTTCTCGCTGCCGTGAAATTTCTGGGCCGGAGTGTTCGGCAGAAACGCGCCAATAAGAATAAAACTAATTCATTTCTTTGGCTCGAAAAACATTTTATTTCTCATTTTACACACCAGATAGTAGTACCAGGATATTTTTAAGGTAATTGTAGATAGTTAGTTTATTTTAAACTAGACGTCAGCACTAATCAAATACATGTATTTGGTAAAATAGGCACTTTAATGACCATTTTTTTAAAAATTAACCGACCATTAAGGGGTTAAAAATAATTTAAAACTTACTGGATCAGAGAACATCGTCCTGAGGTGTGAGGTGATGGCAAGGAATGCTAATGACTGGAATATCACAAAGTTGACAGCACTATAATAAGGATGAGGAGAAGGTAACAAAATGACAAAGACAACCACATATTCTGCATACAGAACAAGCATCCATGTTAATACTGCACATATTATCCCACAAATGTCCTGAACAAACCATAGCCGATTCCAGCAGCATCGGTTATTAGGATCCGTCCCAGGCTCGGGTGGATTCAGTACTGAGTTCTGCCTCGGGACTACTTTGCTGTTTCTTCTACTGCTGAGAAGAGATTGAATAAATTATGTAACACAGTTTCTAGAAATTATGGTACAAGAATGCAAAAATTACATCTTAAATAAATAGTTGTTGTAATTTATTTATGTCATATTATCAAATTTCTAAACTATATATATTTGGATGTTGTTGTTGATTTACGTCGCACTAAAGCTGCACAATGGGCTATTAGAGATGGTCTGGGAAACATCCCTGAGTCGATGATTGACCTGTAACCGATGATTGACAGACGAACAAAGAATTCAGGTGTAGCAACAAATCTATTAGCTGTCACATAGTCAGAAGAATAAATCATTATTTTTGTTACCTTAAAATCAATCAATCAATCAGATATTTTTTGTATTTCAGTGACGTAAGAGACATGGAAATTATTTTCAGATACCTTTTACTTTTAGAAAACAATTAGTTGTTGTTGTTAATTTACGTTGCACTAGAGCTGCACAATGGGCTATTGGCGACGGTCTGGGAAACATCCTGGAGGATGATCCGAAGACATGCCATCACAATTTTGATCCTCTGCGGAGGGGATGGCACCCCCGCTTCGGTAGCCCGACGACCTGCGCGCGAAGTCGAGCACTTTACGGTAGCACAGTTTAACATGGACCAATACTGCTCACCCTCGGTCCCTACGCAGACTGATCCAAGTGGTCACCCACCCGCACACTGACCGTAGCCAGTGATGCTTGACTTTGGTGATCTGCTGGGAACTGTGTCTTAATGATCAGTCCACTGTGGGACAGAAAACAATTAATTGATACAAGAAAGGGAACTTTTTATAAGAAAAGATAATTTTCTAATGAATTGTTGTTGTTGATTTACGTCGCACTAGAGCTGCACAATGGGCTATTAGAGATGGTCTGGGAAACATCCCTGAGGATGATCCGAAGACATGCCATCACAATTTTGATCCTCTGCAGAAGGGATGGCACCCCCGCTTCAGTTGCTAAACGACTTGCACGCAGAGTCAAGTAGTTTACCGTAGAACAGTTCAATGAGAACCAATACCACACACCCACGGTCCCTCCGCAGATTGATCCAAGTAGTCACCCACCCGTACACTGACAGCAGCCAGTGATGCTTGACTTCGGTGATCTGCTGGGAATCGTGTCTTGACAATCAGTCCACTGCGGGACCTTAAATAAATAGATTTCATGGCAACTACATAAATAAAATTTTACAGTCATATAGTTGTTTCTTTATAGTATCTCTTGCAACAAGAAAAACAAATCTCCAACAAAAAAACAAAACAAACAAATCTCCTACAACAAGAAAATGTTATTAATGACTAGGAATCATAATAGCAAGGAAAATTAAGAGGTTCAAAAACTAATTGATAGGCAAATAGATAGATAATAATCGAATAAATCAAATAAATTCAATATCAAGATTAATCAAATAAATGTGGAAAACAGAGATAATAAGAGATAACAATATATTACATTAAAATTAATTGTCTAAAAATTAAGAAATTTTAAATAAAGTCAATTCTAAAAGCAGACATTTTGTTTTATTGATGTGCAATTATATTGTCAGTACATAAATGCAAAACACAACACAACATGTAAATTTGAAATTTCAATATTTAAATTTAAAATTTTTTGTATCAGACACTTTCTATTATTCCATTTGAATACCACACATTTAAATTCCTTATCACACGTAAAACAATAAAATTAGCACAAACATTTATTTTAAATGCATGGAATTCAGTGGAAAGAAAACTATTTTTTGTTACTATTTTGTAAATTATCAAACATGTTTCAAGGCAAGTGTATAATTTTCGCAACATTTGTAGAACACTTATCGATAATTGTTGCCATACTGGCATAAATCCTATTAATCAAGGAATTTTAAATTTTTTTACTAATTTACCTTTAAGCTTAAATACAATATAAAAATTAATAACATTTAAGCCATTATGGTAAGTTACAGATGAATATCTTTTCATATTAAATAAATAATTAAATGAAAGCATTCTTTGCTAAAAAACTAAACAAGACCAAATATCAACATTATTTTAATGAAGGATTTCTTTCAATGAAAGAGGAAAGTTACTTCAATGAAGTCTACTGGGAAGAGAAACCCAGTTTTTCATAACGGCAGCTCAGTGACTTAAACATTGAGCCCTCTCGTTTCAATGTCAATATTATTATTTACATAATGTATTAGGGCTCAAGCTAGTATGGCGACAATTGTCGCCAAATGTTGCTTAACAACAAATTTGTCGTTGGGCGACAAATTTGTCGCTTTGAAATAAACAATATGCTTGGAATTTACATAATAGTAACAGAAAATTAATTTTTGACATTGAATTCAATGCATTAAAAAAAAAAATATTGTACTACGCGTTGTATAGAATTTAAATGTGTAGTATTCAAATGGAATAAGAAAGAATGCCTACAACAAATTTTTTAAATTTAAACGAAGAAATTTCAAGTTTACATGTTGTGGCTATGCTTTGGATTTATTAACTAACATTATAATTGTTCACCAATAAAACAATATTTCTTGCTCTTTTAAACTTTATTTAAAATTTTAAGAAAATTAATTTTTAATGTAATATTGTGTCAGTTCTTAATTTCTCTGTTTTCCTAATTTATTTTGTCTCAGCATTCTAATCTCTATGTTGAATCTATTTACTAGTATTACAGTTTTTTTTACATCTAATTTTAATAATTACTATTCTTCAATCTTTTAGGGCTAATGAACCTAATTAGTTTTAGAGTGTTATATATGGCAATTATTAACTTTTGATGTGTAGCATAACATGAATTTTATAATTGTAAAGTTTGATTTTTTCTCAAGTTTGTCAACCATAATAAGTTTTTGGACCACAAACTGAATACCTAAGAGGTCCGAATGAACCACTAAAGTTTCATTATAGGTGTGAACCCTATTTATGAGTCATTTTATTTTATATCAAATTGTACATATATTGTAAATTTTAATTCAAATTAGCCTCGTGGCAAAAAAGCAGCTACACAGCGACATTGTTGCAGAACGTTACAGAGTTCTTGCAGAAAGATTTTTCCTTTGCAAAAATAAAAAAAATTCTTACTTTTAGTAATAAGTTTATTAATTGGTTAGTAAAAGACCTGCTCATCAGTGAAACCGACAAACATTTTTGAATTTAAATTAAATTTTTATTTCAACCTATTATGGCGTTCTTTTTAATTATATATTTTCTATCTGGAAGACAGTTTCTTAGAAGCTAAAGATTAATCTATCAGAAACCTAGTTAAATATGTTATTAGATTTACCCTTTTTTTAAACCTTTAAAGTTTTCCTAGACTTTTTTCTCACAAAATACATAATTTATATTGCGCAACTATTACAAAAAAAAAATATGCTAATCAAAATCAGTGAATTATTCTGTTCTAGAATTAAGTTAGAGCGAACAGATCTGTAAATTGTAAAAGCTATAAATTGCCAAAACTTTTGTGATATTCAAAAGTAAATTCAGAATAACCCTTTCTGATATGTTACATAAATTGTCGATTAGTTAAAAATCACATAAATTGGGTATTTTAAATTTTATAATTGCTAGGTAAGTTAAATACGTTTCATTATTTCGGTTACAGCAATAAGAATGAAACATACAATAAAAAACAACAAAAATTAATAAAATTAATTAGGTGTACCTATTTCTCATCACCTTACATGCTGCTTTCTTATCTAATTATGACATTGATCAAGATATCACTTATCAGTGAAAATAAATACTTACCAATCAAGTCTTCGTGCCATGTAATGGCATAATAGAGTTTACTCCAAGTAAGCAATCACCACATTGTTAAGAGTTCTTGTATTAGATTACTACCGAAATATTTCTAATAGGAAATAATCTTGTTTATTCGCTCTACATATTACTGTGACATCAAACCATCTATTTTTGTTTGTTTTCCTTTAGACGCGTTTTTCGTTGCCAGATAATACTTTTTTGTTATTTCAATTTCGTGGAGGCTTAAGCAACAGAGCAAGTATTTTTTCTTCAGTCAAAATCTCACAATAGAAAACGCATGTGTCTCAGATCTACTTGTTTGAATCAGTATGGTAAATTTATATGGTAAATATAAAACAACGTAACATTATATATTAAAAACCTCCTTAATTTTTAGTTTCGATAATTTTTTAGTCTTTTTACCAATTAGCAAAATGGGTCTTGTTTGGGGTTTTATGGCGTGCGCACTATATTTGGACGTCATCACACTTTTCAACTGTGTTCAAGAGTAATAGTTAACAGTGCGTATTCGTCGTCATATCATGCGTTGCTATGGCGACCGCTGATGTTTGATAATTTTGTAGAACTCCTTTTTTTTTCTTCTTTTATTTTCACCAGCAGTCATTCTTAATGTATTTTCATAATAATAATTTAAAGTCTTTTTATAGTATTTTACCCATTGGAAAAATGGGTCTTGGTTCGGATTTGATGGCGTCTTCACACATTTTGATTGCAATAATCAAGAGTAATAGTAATAGTAAACTAAACTTACCGATCGGTAAGTTTAGTTTACTATGGCCGCGTGGCTGAAAAAGCCAAAGCCAAGGAAAGTATACGGGAATACCTTAAGCGTGACACACAAACGGAAAAAAGAAAGGATTGTTGTTGTTGTTCATTTACGTCGCACTAGAGCTGCATAATGGGCTATTGGCGACGGTCTGGAAAACATCCCTNATGATCTGAAGACATGCTATCACAATTTTGATCCTCTGCAGAGGGGAGAAGAAAGAAAGGACTCTGTTCGCAAACGCTAGCACGAAGCCGGTCCCTCCCAAAAGTACCAAAGCGACTGAGAGAATTGAACCCTACCGAAGAGCGAATGGTGGCTCTCCGACCACTATTTCATTCAAAGACGAGAACTTGGTGTTGATCATCAGTTAGGGATAAAAGGATCCATTGTCAACGTACCCAATGACTTGCACAAGACCGCAGACTCTCTTCCATGTAATATAAATGATTCATTCACTATTCATGTAAAATTGAAAAAAAGCCTAGCTTTCGAATCATATTTCATGTATGGAACTTGTGAATCCGAAACGGGTGTATGATGCAGCTTACAATCTCCTTCAAGCACCTTTACACCAATAAGAAAATGTTAATATTGATCTCGATTGGCTGTTCAAAAGAATTTACACAAAATGTGTCAGGGGCCTCCCTGGCCGAGCGGTATCGCCGGTCCAAACGCTCTGTTAAGCGTGGAGGTAGCGGGTTCGAATCCCGCCGTAACCCTGGATGTATTCTTTGTGATGTCTTTCTCTGAATTGTTCTATCAGTATTTTCTACTTGACAATGACTTATAAGCTTATATATTGAGCACACAAGTCAGCAAATGTATGTAATTTCAATAAATCAATAAATCAAAATGTGTCTTTGCTGCATTCTAATATGTCTGCGAAATTGTGTACCGAACAGTTCAGGATTAGCTGTAAAAGATGTCCAAGATGAAAACACAATAAAGTTGCTTTACCAAAAAAAAAAAAAATTAGTCAACAACCATTTTGCCAATGGGTAAACAGTGATCACCTTGCGGTGAACACAACCTTTTATGACTTTCTATTTTTCTAAACATTAATAATAATAATAGTAAGTCGCCGATAAATGAGTAAAACGAAACATAAGAATGAAAATATGGACCAGGTTGAAAAGTTGAGCTGGAAGCGTTAAAGGCTAATGATCCTTAATACTGTGCCAAAACTAAAGTTTTATTTATTATTAACTTATAATTACTGTCTTGACGGTGATTTTAGCATAAAAATGAATACTGAAGGAAGGTGATGTCTTGAAACACATGTATAGCCAGGATTTGAAAACCAAACCGATGACAAACGTCAATTGAGACAGTTTTTTTAACCTATGATTTGAAATGTTTTGGCGGTTGTCGGAGTCAAATCAGAAAAGAAAGCATTTGACCAATGGGTAACCAGTGATCGTAATAAAAAGATCAGATTTTTTTAAAAATATTTTGAATCCCATTTTTATTTTCTTTAAAAATGGGTTTACATTATTGTTTGGCAGTCGATCACGGCATTAAACGGATTGAAAAATATCTCAGAATTTTCTAAAAGAGGTAAAAGAAAATCCTTTTTAAACAAGAATATGAATACTAAGTGTCAGGAAATCTTAATTTATGAAGTTAACGCAAATCATCAATCTTAAATCATTGGAGCGAATAATTAATTCTCGCCAATGTCGGTGTAAAGAAACTTTGAAACTACATAAAAAGAACTCTAGTGATAAAAATGTCTTCTGTCTGATTTCATTTTAGTTCCGGATTTCGGAATAATTTTTCTTCTTACAATACATAAGAAAAAATTTAAATATGGAATATGGGATATCAGTGATGTGATTATCAGCTATAGCCGTTTATTTTTTAATGTAATCAACGGCCAACTCTGGACTACAGCGTAGTTCCACAGTCCTAAAATATTAAAAAAAATGCGCAAAATTTCACGACATTTTATGGGTTTTAATTTCATTTTGATTTAAGAAATAAATTTTGTCAGTTGATGCTTAGAATAATCTTTCTTTAATTTGCAAACTGTATTGTTGAATTTCTATCGCTAATTTTTTCAGTGTGGCTAACCTGTAAAAAAGCCGGGATGTGCATGCCATTGCCCGGTATTCCCTACACAGATGTGTTTTAAAGATGAAGGAAAACCATTTTTTTTATCCTTACCACCTACAATGGAACAATTTTTCATTTTTGCCCCTATGGTAAAACTTCAAATGATTCTAAATCGCAGAATTACTAAAAGCTTTAAGTGAATTTCTATAAGATAAGAGAGATGCAAAATTTCTAAGCTTATCGTAAATTTCTTTTAATTTTTTTAATGTTTTATATTATATTCTTCCAATTTTTCTATAAGTTTTAACGGCATATTTCATAAACGGAGAACTTTAAACTTTAGTTTCTGAAAAAGAAAAGGGTGGGAATGAGCTCACAAAGTATCTCGTTCGCAAAACATCGTATATATCGAAGCAGAAACTAACATGCATAAATTAAGTTGGATATGTGGAACAAAATTTAGTGTGGAATAAATATCGGAAGATAATTAGATTACTATGTGAATAAAATGTCAGGAAACAGATTCTCATGTGGTACAGGAATGTGGTAGGATTGGTTTTAAGTGGTAAAAATTGGTTGTAATCTGCAAAACAGAACGGCAGAAACTTGGTCATTCGTTTAAGGAAACTAAAAATAACTATAATACCATGGTTCATCATATTTTATTTCATAACCGTCGTTGAACAGCCGACCCATTTCTTTTGGGGGGGGGGGGTTTACGACTACTAATGTTCAACTCCGTAGCCGTGTAATTTTGTACCCAGTCCAGACGACAAGGGAACTCCTGGATCAAGTATTGTGAGACATTTGCCTTCGAGAAGGGCTTTTTGATGGAACTAACCCTTTTTGCGTTACATGGAGAGGAAAACCAGAAGAACCTCACACGGTTAGCCTGATAGCAAGGGGACTCTAACCCATGATCCGTCTACCACGAAGAATATTCCACGTCAGCACTGTGGTCGATGCAAGCCGGATGCGGAGTTCATATCGACCAGCCATTGCCGGGATCGAACCCCGGTTCACCTTATTGGAAGGCGAACGCTCTATCCCCAGAGTCATCGCATCTCCATGGTTCATCATAGTAAAAGCTTGATATAATAAGAGTTTAATTTGATGCATTTTTTTCTTTTTTTAATAACTGCAGGCACTGAACTTTCGTTCTTTGCCTTAGACGATGTCAGAAGTGTTGCTCATTTATCGTTACCCGGTGAGCACCTGCGAACCAAACTCACGGAGGCGAGCAACATTACCCACGCCACGCTGCCACAGATTCCCGTTTATAGGGTGGGCCGCATTTACACATCAGAGGAAAACACAGAAACTTCCATGCCCTAAGCGGGATTCGTATCCACAGCCGTCGGCTTCGCAGTCAGGCACGCTTACCGCTCGGCGTTCTGGCCGGCGATGTAAAAATTGTACAAGTATTATTACAAGAAAATTTCTGAATCGAAGCAATTGATCATTGTTAAAATTTCTCTGTTTTAAAAAGCTCAGCCTTCTAATCTTCTTTTAACTGTAAAAACTTTTCAGTTCATTTCTTTCAAAAATGTTATTTTGTTTACGTTAAATATGCGTAATATCTAAAATATTTATGCGAAATAAAGTAATATAACTATAGAAATAATAGATTTTTAGTATATAATATTTAACTGTGAAGTTCAGTAATTCATTATTTAGCTATTAATTTAACTGAACGAAGTCCCTTTCAAATAGTTTTTTTTTCTTTTAAAGTCCAAATTTGCAGGGCAACAGTAAACTATCCAATTTATGTAAACACAGTCTTAATTTTTACTGTATATAAGTAATAAATTATTACTGTATATAAGAAGTATAAAATATTACAATATAATTGGCTGAGTTTCTGCCACAAACGTGGGAGAAAAGTGTTTTTGCCATGATGGTTTTAACCGGTTTCTTATCAGTCGTTTAAACCACCTCAGCAGATACATGCCAACCTTGTAAGTGGATAAAATATCGAAGTACAAATTTTTATTTAGGAAAATATAGTAGGAAAGGATCTCACCTAAGCAGAAATTTTTATCCAATAGAATTCAAAAATTTTATTATCCCTAACATTTCATCCGCACAAAACTTTTTTTCGGAAGTTTGCTGTGGTAGCAAAACTCAAAAATGATCAAGCAATTGTCAAACTTTCAATAATAGGCAGTAAAAGTTTATTAAAAAATTACATAGAGGTAAAATTTTTGCATTAAAATTCAAAAGTTCTAAAATCTAAAATGGTCTAAAAACATGAAAGCATATCCACAGAACATTTACTCTTTACCCACAGAACAACGTTTGAAGGCAGCTTGACCTTCGGTGATTGTCCTTTTGCTTTGAGGCTGAATTGCACTGCCGGGTCCACTTGCTCGTCCGTAAGGAGAGCGCATTGCATTGATCTGAAAACGAAAATCAATTGATTAGAGACAGCAGGTTTCAAGCTTTTCCAATAAACATTTTCTTAATCTCTGCTACCTCATGATGCAATAATCTTGTAGTTTAGGATTACTTTTTCATTAACATTATCCAAAATTGGCTCAAAATTCGCAAGATAGCCTTTTTAAATAGCAATGAACAGAACAGAATAAATGTTATATCCTAAAAGTTCAGACTAAGCCCCGAAGAAATATTTAGTTATAAAACTTATTCAATAAAAATAGTTTGAAATTTTTAATATATTTCTTGAAACACATCTATTTCTTTATAGACATAAGGTTACTAATTGCGTAAAATAAAGCTACAGGGTATGTGGAACGTTGCCAAGAATGTCTCCATATGAACGGAGTTTACCTAATATCTAACTAAAGTATCCATTGTAGACTTCAATTAGCTGCTCATAGTTTAGCAGTTTCACAAATTGTGCAACTTCAGAATTTTTTGTTTGGATATAGTGCTCGTTGCTACTCCAGAAAAAACAATCACAAAACTATTTTTCACAATTCCAGAAAAACAGGGTGAGTTTATTTTCGTAGAAAAATACGAATAATCGATATTTTTATGACATTTTACTTTTAAACTATAGTGGCTATGTTCATAGGGCCGTCATGTAAACAATTTTCTATTATCTTGGTCGCATGTGGGCTGAAAAAGCCGATATCAATATCTTACTTCGATAGCTCATGATTTATAGCCAACATTCAGTAAGTCATTAAGCTAAATCATTAGACTAATCTTTTTCAGCAGAGATAAGATTTACATTCAATTGTTCTTTCTTATGTAGGTTCATTTGCGCAAAATATTGGACCCTGATTGGATGTTTTTGTACTATCTTCGCTGAGCTAAGTTTGAGCCCTACCGAGACCGAGATACAGTTGTTACAAGAGAGGTGCAAGGATGCAAGGATGTCGCGATTATAATAGCAACAATTTAACTTTTTGCATCATATTGTTATAAGTTGAGTATAGGTTGATGGAAAAAGTTACTCCCTTGTAATTTAAAATTTAAATTTTTAATTTTCTGAACACTACAACTGTTACAAGTCTCGGGGATTTAATGTATTGAGATATGATGCACCATTCCTTCTCCATAAAACGAGGTATTCAAATAGGGCAATTGTCTTAAATCATTTCCATTTGCAGAGGAAAGTTACACGTTTTTTAATCCGCAATCCTCCGACAACTGAAGTTCATTTTCAATTTTCTTTTAAACTGCCTTTCACTTTACATTCACAAATTATTCAATGATTTCGTAAATCTTTCACCTCGTGAACAGATCTTTTTCAAAAATGTCAGTCAGCGGGCGCATGGGTGACCACTTTACTTTGATCAGACTGCGTAGGAACTGAGAGTGCGCAGTAGCAGCCTTCGTTACACTATTCTACCGTAAAGCACTCTAGACTTCACGCGCAAGTTGTCGGGTTACAAAAACGGGAATACCATCCTCTCAGCTAAGGATCAAAATTATGATGGCTTGTCTTCGGATCATCATTACGTATATTTCCCTGACTGTCGCCAATAGCAAATTGTGCTGCTCTGGTGCGACGTAACTAAAGAACTACAACGACTAGAAGTTTAAATACGAAAATTGAGAAAAAGAGGGAGTTAAAATTGTAACCATCCAGATTTAGAATATGGTTTGAATTAACATTAGATTAGCATCCAGATTAATATATGGTTTGAATTAACATTCGTTTAAAACTTTTAGATTTCTAAACATAGTGAATTCAAAGTGAGATTCAACACTAATTCACATTAATATTATTTCTTATAAGATGGAGATAAACGCACCTGTAGGGATCATTCAACTATTAACTGTCATGATATGGCGTATAGAACGAAAAAGTTCATATTAGTGATTCGATAATTAAGTATTCACGGAATTTGAAATTGAATTTAAATACTCAAAAGTCAGAAAAAATTAGAGAGTTTAAGGTACATAAAAATGCAATATTTTCGCAAAAAATAGTTTTAAGAAAGCGTAGCAATGGGCATTGTTTCCAGTTATGCAGTTTTATACAATCTGATCTCTAGTTTCAAATCAAACTTAAGAAATGATTTGCTTCGAAAATTTTTATCAATATTTCGGGCAACCAAATATAAAAAGGAAACAAAATTACTTTCCTACTACTTCATGCACAAATGATTAGTTTAAGAAAGTAACAAAATTAAAACTTAATCAGAATTTTACAAATTTTATTGTTTGCATTGTAAAATACGTTAAGAAAAAAAATCTGTCAATGAAAAAACATACTAAGACTATTTTGAGTTTTGAAACTGAGTTTCGAGCAATAGTGAAAAGTAGAGAATGAGCCAAGATAGGTTGAGAAGCATTGATCTAGAAATCAGCATTTGTAAATCATAAAATTAGTATTAATAAATCATTAAAGTAGTATGTATATTATTAACCCCTTAACGATCTGTTAATTTTCAAGAAAACGGTCATGAAAGTGCCGATTTTTTTGGCTTTTGTATTTTATTACGTATTTGATTAGTGCTGACATCTAGTTTAAAATAAGCTATCTACAATTACCTTAAAAATATCCTGGTACTGCTAGATGGTATGGAAAAAGAAATAAAATGTTTTCCGGGCAAAAGAAATGAATTAGTTTTATTCTTATTAGTATGTTACTACCGAACACTCTAGCCCGTCAATATCACGGGAGCGAGAAATAGAGGGTGAAACCTCACCTCGACATTTTCACGGGAGCGAGAAGGAAATGGTTAAATCAGTAAAGTAGGTTTTGAATCCATTTATTCAAAACTCAAGATAATAGCTCCTTTATTAGATCAAAAAGGTGCGAATAAATGAGTGGAAATTAAAATTAGAATTCAATAGAATAATGTGTACACATTTTACCTGCTCTTTTGATGCCTCAATGGGATTTTTAAAAATTATCCATGTTAGATATTCTTTCTTCATCCCCTCTCCTGTCTCTTCCTTGTACATCCAGAAATCAAGTTTTTCTAGAACGAAAAACTTATGATTGATGTTATTTATTAAGTAATAGTAAATTATTAATAATAATAAAGTTGCAATAAGGTGGGTGATTTTATAATTCCTATATTCATGAGTGTATTTGGTTCAATTTCATTGTTAGGCACTTTAATTGAACCCTAATTTTACGGCACTTTAATTTTTAACTTTATTATGGGTGGCATTTTCGATTCTCCCTCCCGGGAACAACGTCGAATACAGATATGCAACATCAAGTTTAACCAGAAAATTCTGATCGATTATTGTCATAATTACATATTAAATTCTTACATGTTGACATAGCTATCGTCTGTACGTTTACAAATAGCTGGGCTCTATTATAACGGTTCTAATTCGAAATAAGAATTGAAGGTTACTACAGTTAATTTTAACGTTTATAAGCTTAGAAAAACTGCTACCTATATTGCTTTAGAACTTGCACTTTTCACAATATGACTTGTGACTATTTATCCATTTGTAAATCTAATTTTAGCGAAAGACAAAAACTAAAAGATAACGCTCAAAACGTGCCAATCCTTGTCATGTTATTAGTTTCACTAAATCGATTTATGGCACATATTTTAGAAATTATAAAATGTTATGAATACATTTAAATTGGTGCATGATTTTTACCAATAAAGTTTCCTAGAACATCAATCCCGTTCACAGATAGTTTCGTTAACTAAGAGAAATGATGCATTGGAAGGGAAGCATACAAGCGAAAGCGAAACCAAAAGTTCGTCGTTCGTTCTCAACTCGCTGCTAACTAGTCAAATTTTTCTTAGGTGGGACCTACGCGGACGGAGAGAGCTGGAAGCAAGCTACATACGAGTGACGTTTGACTTCTCGTAAGATAGATTTTGCATGCGTACTTTATTATTGCGCATCCTAAGTGCAAGCTTATGAGATTTCACTGTGTGCCTTTTTCTCCTTCAGTATGCAACCCGCCTTAAGAAAAAAAGTTTTAAACGACTAAAACAAGAAGTTCTTTAATTATGAAACCCTAGATTTATGTAAGATACCCACATTCCATGAAATATCTATGATTTCTTTATAAATTTTGAAGAAAAAAGTGCACAAATTTATATACCTGGGAGTAAGTAGGTTGGATTAACATCATCGTTGAAGCCTATTTTCGTAACTCTATAGCTAAGTTCTGACAGTTCGTTCGTAAATTTTGATAATTCGTTGTTTACTTTTCCTTCCTGTAAAATTCAAACATAAATTTCATGTTAGGTGTTTGGTCACAGGTTTTCATGACCACCATATAAGGTGATAAAACTTCTAGTTTTACATATTGTAATGCTCTGGAATAAATGACGCAACAGACTTAATTTTTCAAAAACATGATTTCCAACAGCGCATTGTTATATTAATTATATTAATAAACATATTTAAAGCCTTTACAAAGTATCTCAAATTAACTTCTTTCCTTTTTTTTCACTTTGTAGCACGAAATATTTTGTTTAGCATTCTGTCAAAATAGCTGAAGAATTAAATAGCCCAAAGAAATACCTTGAGTTCAACGTCACGCCATCAGACTAGGGAAAACATCCAGTCTATAAGAACTGGAGTTGTAGTAAGAGAAAACTTATTGGTATCAGGACTACCCAGCTTACTCTCAGGTCACCTCTGGTAAAGGGTTGCAACTTTCTTATACAGGTATCTCATATGTTTCTGACGCTCTAATTACAAGCAAAAAATATAATTTTCTATGGTTTAATAAAAAACGGTCTAATTTTTTACTAAAAAATAGTGTTGAATTATCGGAATTATATTTATACTAAAATATAAAATTCAGAAGAAAGTAGTTTGAAAAAAAAAATCATATTCAAAAATTTATCAATCGATTTTGTAAATTAAGTTTTTTGTTGTTGTTTTATGAATAACTCTTTCTTAGATCTAAATAAATATAAATTTGGTAAATTGGAAGCCTGCGTTTGGAAGACTTTACCTTTAACACAGGAAGAGACCTGTGTTACATGCTGTATTTCATAACCACGAATTATTAAAATGCAAAATATTTCTCATTAATTTTGACCTAATACAAAATAANTTTTTACTAAAAAATAGTGTTGAATTATCGGAATTATATTTATACTAAAATATAAAATCCAGAAGAAAGTAGTTTGAAAAAAAAATCATATTCAAAAATTTATCAATCGATTTTGTAAATTAAGTTTTTTGTTGTTTTATGAATAACTCTTTCTTAGATCTAAATAAATACAAATTTGGTAAATTGGAAGCCTGCGTTTGGAAGATTTTACCTTTAACACAGGAAGAAACCTGTGTTACATGCTGTATTTCATAATCACGAATTATTAAAATACAAAATATTTCTCATTAATTTTGACCTAAATGTATACAAAATAATGAGAAAAAAAACATGAAAAACATGTATTATAAAAATTCTGCGTCAGAAGGTTAAATATTTCTTGAATTGAAGCATGATGAAATCTTGATGAATTGAAAGTATGATGAAATCTTGATGAATTGAAAGCACGATGCATCAAGCTACTTTATTATTATACTTAGCATTCATCTTTTTATTGATCCAAAAATAATTTATTCTGAGAAGTGTCATTTCTGAGATCTGGAATTTCTAAAGCCACTTATTTTTACTTTGCTTCATATTTCAAAAATTAATAAATGATTGTTTGCTACGCAATTGGGTGTTCTAATAACTCAGAATTAGGCTTTAAATTACATAGTTTAACTGTTGCAGATCGCAATGAAGAACAACGGAAAGTATGGCTGCATAGAATTTGTAGAGATAAATGGACTCCAAGCGCATATTTAGATTAAAAAAAAAGCATTTAAGATACTTCGTAACCATCGTTCAAAATCCCAAATAATTCTGAGTATACGACAACTAAGGTTAAACTCCGTAGCCTCGTAATTCTGAACCCTATTCTGAATTCTGAAATGACAAATTCTCGTAATTCTGAAATGACAAGAGAACTTCTGGATCAAGTATTGTGAGAAATTTGCCATCGTTGAGGATTTTCTGAGAGACACATTTGCGTCACATGAAGAAAGTCACAAAAACCTATGGTTATAATGACGGCAACGGGACTAACCCATTATCCGTCTACCACTGAGGATATTCTACGTCAGCACTGTAGTTAGTGAGAGCCAGGTGCGGGATTCAAACCAGAGACACCTCATTGGGAGGTGTGTTCTCTGTCCCCTGAGTCCCCGCATTGCATAAATCTTAAAAGCACTCATAAAAGTACTTATTTTGACTTTGTTACGTATCCAGTACTTTTTTAATGTTACGTATCCAGGGTTTTACTACAAACAAAATTATTCGCTGGCCACATGTAGTGCTTTTGTGCTACGATTAACTCGCTTCTTATTAACTTGACCAAAATCTTATTTGGAAGAGACTTTTTTTAATTGTATTCTAGAAGGGGTGATTTTTCACAAAAGCGAAATGGACAAAAATAGAAATTATCAGGGGTTCAAAATTTCGACAGCACCTCTGCATAAACTTTTTAGACCATTTTTACCAGATTGCGACTATCCCGCAAAATTTGAGAGTTAATGATTCAAAACGGTCATGAAAAAAAGGTCTTTTTACTCAAAGTATGTTTTTTTTTTGTTTGATATCGTAACTAAAAACGCAGGCTCTAAGGCACATTTAAGGTTTAAGCACACAAAATATTTAGATTGACTTAATGAAATTCCGATCAGATAGCAAAGCTATTCAGAGTGTTAATTATTTTTGGCACTATACAAGTAATTTCTATATGCATATTTAAGCTTAAAAAATTTGACAAAAATAAACTTACCTCTAGAAGAATACAAACTATAGCCCTACGGTCTGGAACGTACTTGTTTAATTTATTGGGTGAGAAGCTCAAATGAGGGTCATAATGAACAAAATGCAGCTGAAAAGGAATAAAATGTCAACAATTAGTAAAAACTAGCTGAAATTCGTGCGGGCTAAGTACAAGATATTTAATAAATTAAGGAATCAGGCACGAAACAGGAAGACATATCGAAACAAATAAAACAAAAATAAGATTCTTTTAATTATCAGTTGTCTTTTTCAGTAGCATTACAATATCAGATTTTATTTTATTTTATAACCCGTTGAACAGCTGACCTAATTTTTTGAGTTTACGACTACTAATGTTTAAATCCCTATCCTTGTAATTTTGAACCCTATCAAGAAGACAAGGGAACTCATGGATCGAGTATTGAGAAATTTTGCCTTTGTGGAGGACGTTTTGATGGAACTAACCCACATTTACGTTACATGGAGAGGAAGACCACGAGAACCTCCCACGGTTATCCTGACGGCAAAGGGACTCTAGCCCATGATCCGTCTACCACTGAGGATATTTCACGTCAGCACTGCGTTCGGTGCAAGCCGGATGCAGATTCGTGTCTACCAGCCGTCGCTGGGATTTGAACCCGGTTCACCTCATTGGAAGATGAACGCTCTATCCCCTGATTCATCACGGCTCTACAATATCAATTTGATAAAAAAAAAAAAGATTTTAGATGTCCACCTAAAAAAATGCTGTATGTATCCTGCTGCACTGAAAATTCCTTTTATGATACAAGCCAACGTATGATATTTAACATCTACCACCATCGAAAAATTTTCCCAATGAATAAACACTAAACTTACGTTTTCAGTTTCAGTTGCTGTTAACTTTACATTATTTTAGATTATAGAAACAAGTTTCAAAAGTGTAAATGCGCGCACAAAATATGTGAGGCGTTACTGAGTGCTTATTCAGATAACTCTCAGAATACTAATTTAACGAAATCTTGTTTAATTTTTTCTTGCACTTGCGTGGCATAAGTCAAAGATAGGCTATCCAAGAACGAACAATAAACTGTTAATGAAACTTTTTTTTTTTTGGTGAACAGAGCTGTTAGCTAAAATCATTAATATTAGCCTTCTATTGCTAAGAAAAAATATTTGATTTATTTCGCAACAAGGCATAAACTTTTGAATAAAATTTGTTTTTCATCTCTCCGTATAAATTTTTTTTAAGCATTTTGAACAATAAACATCATTATATCATTATATGTTGTATTGTAAAGTGTTGGTATGTTAAGTGTTAATCAGGAACTAAAGTTGCGACTTTCACATCCTTCGTCTAAATTTTAGGATTCTAATACATACTGTTCTGTTTAAGATTTATAAGAAGGAAGACCACAGGCACTCTTATGTTCTGTTAAAGATTAAGACTAATCATGAAATATGTTTGACAAATAGAACTTGTAAAAGGACATTGAAAACATATATTAAATTTAATGGCACCGAATATTTTACAGCCCTAGCTAACAATGATTTAGTACCTTTATCAGAGAGCCTATTTAGTAAGACACGGTTCCCAGTAGACCACCGAAGTCAAAAATATCTCGAAGTGTTGAGTAAGTGAGTGGGTGGGTGAGTACTTTGATCAGCCTGCGATGGGACAGAAGGAGCGCGGTATCGGTTCTCGTGAAATTCTACCGTAAAGCGCTCGACTTCGCGCCTGTATTGATAGTAAAGCTACAGAGCCATCGCCTCTGCAGAGACTTAAAATTGTAGTGCAACTGTCGGGTAACTATAGCGACCCCCTCTTCTGCGCGCATGCGCATTGTCCGAACCTCACTCAGATAGACGGGGGATACGGATATGAGCAGACATAAGTCAACGCTCTTGTTATGTTATGATGATTTAATTGTATTGTACGTATTTCTATCTTGATTTCTTCTTAATAAATATTTTTATCTTATAATCGCCATCATTTCTTCCCATTCGAATCAAAAGAACCCAACAGCAACATTACTTTAACGGACTAGTTTTATAATAATGCTGGGTTTTCGGTACTAACCATTCATAATATGCATCTTTAGAATCCTTGTATAATGTGTCAAATATATTGTGCATTCACAGTCAAATTAATTTTTAAATCAGCGCGAACAAATATTGCGAAAGATTTCTTCTAAGATCACTATAAACTAGGATGGGATTACGATTATTCAAAATCAATTTGGAGGAAGCTTAATAGTAACCGCCCCTATAATTATATTAAAAATGTTGCAAAAATTGACCTTGACTTAACGTACCAAACATGCGCAGCAATATAAAACAAAGTTTTGAACATTATAAGACAGCACAATTTAATTTTTCTGGTCAGCACGAAGGAAAATTTTTTCCCTTTTTCAGATTGCTTATAGTATATAAAAATGCAAATATGTAAGTCTTTTTACGGAATTCCTTGAAATAAATCTCAAAAATGATAAATTCATCAAGAGCCGTGAATTTCGATACTATGTAAACTGTGATTTAACATTTACGAATTTTATGGTGTACATCTAAAAAAAAAAAGAATTGTAAAGGAACACTATTTTAAGTTATCAATTAGAGCTTTCCAATACAATTTAAAAGGTGAAGTTAAATCCAACCACTTAAAGTGGAAAAATATGAAATCAAACACATGGGCATTCACACAATGAAAGAATTATTTTTGCTTCCGGAATCATCAACATTGCCACACTTTGCATATCATCAGTAGTTTGTTTAAATCAAGTAAGTTGTCATGAGTATCTTCTTCCCATCACTTTGGAAAGTCTACTAAAGCAAAAGTTCGCAGTTGAAATATGAAACATGAAAATTTTTCAGTAAACACTAATTATTTCAACGTACTTCAACACCAAAAAGGTGGCAACTTGCTACAATAAAGTGAAGTAGTGAAACACCATACATAGCTCTTCAATATAGTGTTTCACTACATTAATATTGTCTTACACTACTTGATGTAAAGTAGCCACAATCGTTTTTACTATTGAGCAACACTAAAATTTATAATGGCAGTTAGATATGATACATAAATTAAAGTTATTTTTAGAATACAACATAAAGTAAAAAATCAATAATTTAGATTGCATATACACTAATTCTTAAAATCAGTTTGTAAATCACACATACGTACAGCACAGAAAATATTGGAACGAATTCGTGTTAGGCTTAACAGAATGGAAGGGGATCGAAATTATACATATAAAATCATTTGATACAGTTCTCAGATTTAAAAATTAAAATATTATCTTCATTACACAACTAAAACATACATATTTTAACGGTGAATTTTTGTTTTGTTGATGAATATCACCGTAGAAGAGAACAAACTCTAGCCAACTTATTCTAGAATGCAAATAAGCTACAGGCGGTATTCTACTTCACGTTAGTCTGAGTTTTTGATGCTCAAAGTGAGCCATAATTAACATTTTTGGAAGCGGAAATTCTAGAGTGGTGTGAAAGCATGAGAGTTGAGTAAAATTATTCAATTTTAAGTGTTTAGATTCAAAATACACTCCTTTAAATCGCATATGAATGCTCCATTTGGTGTTAACCTGGAATAAAATGTCCATTTACACAATTTTTTGGGTTGTTCAATATCATAGCTCAAGAGATATTACACAGTTTTTACAGTGTAGAAGACAAAATAATCATGACATACTTGCTTCTATAAGTTTGGTCAATTATGAAAGTGATTTGCAACAACGAAATAAAGCAAAAATTGGAACGCACCTCTCCGGCATACTCTTTCCCATCTACAGAGTGCCTACGGCATGATTCCAGGCATGAATCTCCTACCATGTGGCCATGAATCTCATACAATCTGTATGGATTTTCCAGAGAACCATGAAATAATTCTAATTAAAATACAGAAAACAAACAAAAATTAGTAATTTTTGCATTAGTAAAAGTTTGGCTCCTCCACGTTGGTACTTTACTAAAATTTCTTAAAAGCAAAATTAAAAGTTTTAAAAGTAACTAGACATTGAAAGCTGTTTTAACATTAATACCTTGAAAATCCAGTGTTATCTGCAGTGTAAAAAATACCAGTTTTTTTTTATTTATTCGTATGTTCGACCTGTTTAAAGCTGTTTATGGACAAAACCCTTTCATTGTTTCTCACCTTAAACATAGATGGATTAAAATCGTTAGTTCAAATTCTAGTTTTTACCATACTGGTTTGCTTATCGTACAGATACTGCATTTTCATAAATTTTACGATTATTTTCTACACATGTTCTTATTTTCTCTTTTTAACCCTTAAATAGGATTTCAAAGTAAGATTGAAGGTAAGGGCACTTCCGCAGACTTCTCTTCACAATGAAACATAAGAGTCGCTGTTGCTCAGGAGACAGAGTGCTCACCTCTCAATGGAGTGACCCAGGTTCGAAACGCAGTGATGGCCGAATAATAAATACATAACTTTTGCAGAAATTTTTTTTAATGGTAAAATGCCATTCTGCAACGGATTTGCTTCGTAACTTTTGCAGCGAAAACTTCTTGTATTGTAAAAAAACCGTTGTGACTACAGTTTTATTTCGTAAGTTTTACGGTTTTGCAGACCGTAACCTAGCTGCATGGGTAAATTTTACGGGATTTTCTTTTTCTACAGTGAGAGTTGAGATTCTTTGCAACTTGAAACTAAATGTTTACAGGTGTAAAATTCAGAATACTTTGAACACCTGTTGCCTTTGAATACCTGTTGATCTAATGATCAACGTTTTAGGACTCAATTTTAATGGTTCGAGGGGTGATCTCTAACATGGTAATTGGGGCAGACGATATTTTAAGTTACGAAACAAGACAAAACGTATAACTTTCTTTTCATGAACATCCTTTGTTTTCGATGGTTTTGGATTTCTGAAGCCAAAATGTCAGCGGTAGCCGCAATCTGGGAAGTATGGTCCCAATAGTTAAAATTTTAAAATTCGATTTTTCAAGAACTATTCGACCGATTTCGGTCAAATTTTGTATTTTGTTATTCATAATTACATCCTTTAAAAATGATGTAAAAAAACTGTATACCTTAAAATTCAAAATTTTTTTTGCATAGTTTTTTAATATCTTCGGATAAACGAATTTTACAATTGTGTGCAAAAAATTTTCAATTCCCTAGTAAAGTTCGAAATAATGAAATACGCAAAAGATAGAATTAATATTAAGGGATCCAAGGATCCAACCACTCTCCTGAATGAACAATTGGGACTATATTTCCCAGATTGCAGCTACTCCCTATACTTTGGGGGTCAGAAATCCAAATTCACTGAAAACAAGGTATATTTATTCAGAGAAACTACTTCTTGGTGCCTGATTTCGTAACTTAAAATATCGTCACTAATTCATTAGCATATTAAAGTTTATCCACTCGAACCAGTAAGATTGAACTTTAGAACGCAAAAGTTCAAACTTTAGGTTAAAGGTTATTCAGGGTAGTCAATATTTTCTTTTGCGCACTTTACATAGACAGTAAATTTTTTCGATTCATTTAAACAGCTGCAGAGAAATAGCGAAAAAACGCAAGTAAAATTAGCATTAATACGCTTAAATATTGATAGCTCTTTTTTCTAAGTTCTTAGGACCAGATTTTCCAGATAGCCTATAGCCTCTTTATTTTGAAAGTCAAAAATCTGAATCTGAGAAAAAAAAACAGATTGTTATTCAGAGAAGTTTTTTTTACCACATTCGTAAACTATTTAACGTATAAATATTAGTATATTAAATATTAGTAGTTAGCGCTTTGACTTAAAATTGCATGAAAATCCGATCACTAGATAAAAAGTTACAGCTCTTTCGTTATTAATTTTGAGTATCGTAGAACATTCTACACTTGTAACAATGCTTCTGAAATCAAAAATAAAGAAAAAATGAATTTAAAAAGAAAAACTATCTGTACATGAATGCGAGAATATTTTGAAGTTCTTTCAAAATTCTGAAGTAAATTTGATATTTAAAATTCCAAAACCTGTTAAGTTTATTGAAAATTATTGAAAACTGTTTTAGTTTAAAGTTCGCGAATTTTTTTCGCATCATATTTCTTACAGAACATATCTATCACCTTCTATATTACAAGCTAATTTTATTGCTATAAGAGACAAAAATATTTAAGTTCTTGAAAATTCTATTAGCGGGAAATATTTAAAGATATTCGAATAAAAAAGTCGAAAAACTTCCTTAAATACTTCGTGGAATGCAGACAACGAGGTGGTTTTCCCTGCCTTTCACAAAAATATTTCATAATTAAAAAAACAAAACAAAACCTATAACCAATAATAAATAAATTTTTACTGTGTGCAATTTTTTAAAACACATTTTTCCTAGTCAGATTTTTTATAAGCTAGGAAAAACCGGAGACGCCTGGTGGCTGAGTGGTAGCGCTTCGCACTGTCATGGCACATGTCCTTTGTTCAATCCTCGGGCCGGACAAGGTTGATTCTGCTTTTCATCCCTTCAGTGGGTCAATAAAATGAGTACCAAGCATGCTTGGGAACTAAACACTGGGGATTCCGCGCTGAGCTGACCACCCAACAGGCACATCTGCTCATCCACCCAAGCACCCAAATATCAAGAAAACTGAGATGGACACAGTAGACTTTGGCCCTCCATGAGCTGTCACGCCACTGAGTTTAGTTCAGGAAAAACCGATCTCTCCGGGGTTTCGGTTACGAAAACAGGATTTCCACACCACGCAACTGCTATGGAAAATTTAACAGTTAACGGTCCGAAAGCGTTGCAAGTTTACTTCTGATCAATTTCGGGGGGGGGGGACTAAAAACCTTATTTCCTATATTAATTAGTATATTGGGTACGCATTACTTATTACCATAAAATTAGTAGTTCACATTACCACAAATGAAGTATCACTGACGTCAATTGTTTGGCGAATTTTTTGGCAAGCAAAACAGTGCTGTATAATTTTTAGTTTCAGTTCAATTTATTAAATTATTTTGCGCTACTAGGTATAAGAAATGGTTAGTGGACAAAGTGACATATTTACTTCGCTAAAATGACATCGTCCTTTAAAAGCTTTTCATAATGTTAAATATTTTTCTAAAGTTAATGATCAAACATTTCTGCAAAAAAGTGTCTCGATACATTTAAAACTGAAAATTTACATCAATATATGTGGAAATAAATCTAAATTTAAATTTCATTCAGAAAATTAGAATTTGTATGTTGTGTTTTGTAAATAAAATAGTTAGAAATTTGTCTTAATTTCCAATAATTTAAATTCTGTATTTATTTTTATAAATTATCAATTTTAATAAATTAAGGAATTTGTTTTAAAATAAATTATAATTCCAACGTAAGTTAAAAGCTTTCATTTTTTTCAAAAATATCTACCCTGACAAAAGGAGCTTTCCTGCATTACACTATCAACATCAAAGTATTAGTTACGATTTAGCATTAACTAGATTTCTTTTAAAGCATAAATTATTATATATTAGTATTAATCCTTTCACTGCGTTTTGATTTTGCATACAAAATCATAACGTTTTACCTTGTTTAGAGGTTTTGTTAAACTTCTTGCAATAGTAATCCTAGGTTAGAATAAAGACAGAATAAACCTATGGTTAACCACCCTTAACACGTGGATTTCCCTATGCCCGAGTTCTTGGTTTAACTCAGTGTGGTGCATACTTATCAGCAAGAATGACCCGGGTGAATTTAAATACAGTCAAACCCCGCTATAGTGAACATGATTTATAGTGGACTCCCGGATATAGTGAACAAAATGTTCACTCCCGAGCTTTGCTATGCACATATTTTTTGTGGATATAGTGAACCAAAAGAGAGGAAATTGGTTATTATGAACTTTTTTCTGTTTTCGACTGATTTTCTTCATTTTTTAGTAATTTTGAAATTTTTACATAAAATACAGATACCGATTTTTAAAACCATTTATTGAGTGAAATGTAGCNTATACTATATATTTTATTTATACTTTTTATTTACATTTTAATTTTCTTTGACTTTATCCATTTTTTAATTCTTTTCACTTGCCTTTCTTTTTGAAGTAACGAGGCGGTTTCTATTTAGATAATGAATTTTTATAAAAGTTCTTTACAACCGAATAAACGTATTGCTGCTTAATATTAACTGTGTCATTTCGAAATCCATTCTTTACACAGTTGTTCATTTACTTTAGGGAAGACGCGGAAAATTATATTTTTTCCTTTTTTTTGTATCAGAATTTTTGCAAGTTGCAATCGCGCAAACTGGCATTTCGATAATAGTTTTAAATTCTTGTAAATTCACTGCAAAAACTGAGGAAAATCATTATAGAAAATGACAAATCTCTTAGAATATCTCGCAAAAAGAAATGATCTAATATTAGTTAGAGCTAGTAAGGCCGAACGCTCCGTTCATGAAGTGAAAGTGCGAGCTTTGCGCCAAAGTGACGTCACTAGAGAAAATCGGAGGATTGGCGCGGCTAGAGTTACTTCAAAGGAGTGAACCAGCCCTTCTATTCTCTTTAGCCCTGCGGTTAACCACCCTTAACACGTGGATTTCCCTATGCCCGAGTTCTTGGTTTAATTCAGTGTGGTGCATACTTATTAGCAAGAATGACCCGGGTGAATTTAAATCCAGTCAAACCCCGCTATAGTGAACATGATTCATAGTGAACTCTCAGATATAGTGAACAAAATGTTCGCTCCTGTGCTTTGCTATGCACATATATTTTTTGTGGATATAGTGAACCAAAAGAGAGAAAATTGGTTATTATGAACTTTTTTCTGTTTTCGACTGATTTTCTTCATTTTTTGGTAATATTGAAATTTTTACATAAAATACAGATACCTATTTTTAAAACCATTTATTGAGTGGAATGTAGCCATAAGCATTTTTTCTTGTTTGCTTCTTCTATCTCAGTTTCCCATCCCTAAATAAAGACCATCCCTAAATTTTTTTCGTACGCAAGACGAAGAGTAATAAAAAATAAAAGTTAACGCATTTTTCGTTATTACATATTTAATCATTTCTGTATTTCTTTTCATTGGTCATTTATTTTAATAATGTGTAATAAAAGGGAGCAGCTCGGAAAAATTAGTTGAAATCGCTTGCAGTACGGATATAGTGAACTCCCGGTTATAGTGAACCAAAATTTTGGTCCCTTGAAGGTTCACTATAACGGGGTTTAACTGGATCTTATAATTTTGAAACTCAAGAATTTTTTAAGCTAATTCAAGTGATTAGTTAAATGTTAATAGTTTGATTTTTGGAAGAAGAATTTTAAATCACACTGTTGATTATTAAACAAAATCTTATGTTTTAAAAATCGCAGTTATTAAAAAAAAAAAAGGATTTTAATCTTAACTCTAATTCATACAAGATTGATTTGTTCATTTACGTCGCACTAGAGTTGCACAATGGGCTATTGTCGACGGTCTGGGAAACATCCCTGAGGATGATCCGAAGACATGCCATCACAATTTTGATCCTCCGCAGAGGGGATGGCACCCCCCGCTTCAATAGCCCAACGACCTGCACGCGAAGTCGAGCACTTTACGGTAGGACAGTTTAACGAGGACCAATACTGCACTCCCTAGGTACCTACGCAGAGTGGTCCAAGTGGTCACCCACCCGCAGCCAGTGATACTTGACTTCGGAGATCTGCTGAAAACAGTGTCTTAACGATCAGTCCACTGCGGGATCTAATTCGTACAAATTTGTGAGGATTCAAATATAATTATTTAAAATGTGGTCAGTTTGAGGTATGAGTTGTTTCAGGATTTCCTTGGAGATTATACAACAGTGAGTGCTAAGTTACTTACGGGAGTACAACTTACCGTGTGCATTAGTTCCTGGTACGAGTTTCCAGCCTTCATCAGTTTTGTGTACAGATTGGCAGTGATTTAAATTATAATCGAGTTCCAGGGGATTACTCTCTATATTTACCAAAACATCGTCGCTCTTTATGTCCACTACACGAGATTGCATTCTTCCAGTTGAGTTTCTTACTACTAACAGTAGATATTGCGATCTGCACAGGTAAAAGGCTTAATGGTTCTTGCCTACGAAAGAAAAATACGTCAGAATCTGGACACTCAGAATTTTATTTAACATAAATCTGAATGCTAGATCAAAATGTCATTTCCTAGTTAATCATAAATAGAGAAACTACGAAAACTTGTCCTTAAGTATCAGGGTAAATAATCCACTATCAAAAATTGCCTGAATTTGGTAATTGCAAATATTTGACTGCTATGCTTAAATATTGAATGGAAAACTAATAACGTCGAAGTACGTTTTTCATAAGTTTAAATAATTAAATATGCTGTGAAAGGCCTTCAAATACTGTTGCGAAAAGATTGAAGCAACTAGGGATAAATATTTGTGTTTTATATTTATTAACCAAATGCAAAAGTATTCTTATTTAAGGTGCTTTAAAGTTAAAATAATTATATCTTGTACGAATAGAAGCATGCTTCTATCAAACATCTTTTTTTCTTATTTAAAAGCTGCTATTTGACAATACCATGCAATAGTTGCTGCAGCAATGAATTTCCCTTAAAAAATAATTTTGATTAAAGTTAAATATTTGAATTTTGCAAACATTTCTATCGAAGTTCGTATGAAATTTAAGATATATTTTCACTAGATTCTATCTAGACTAAATATCGCATTTAAGTGGTTAAAAAAACCTTAGCGCCCTTTGATTTATTGTAAAAAATTAAACGCTTAAAATGTTGATTTTGCATTGTTTCGCAGAGTCGCAAAAAGTTAGGACAAATCGAACTTTTTGAAGAAAAAAAAATAAAAATTACCTCTCAATCGCACATTTAAGTTTTCTTCATTCAACTAGGTTTGGTTGATGCATGTTAAGTAACTTTTCCAATATATTTACAAGAAATTAAGTTAATTTAAAGAGAACGAAAAAAAAGAAATAAAATTAAAACAGAAAAGTGTAATAACTTCAACTAAAATTTCATAGAACTGAAGTTTAATATCAAACACTTCGTTCAATATTCTTTAATGCATTTTACACTAGTTTTAAAATTAGACACAGGATAATATACGAAACTCAGTAGTTTAACACAATTTTTTCTTCATGCTTCAAAGATGCATGTTTTTTAGACTAACTTAAAGTAACTGTGAATTTAAAGAAACAAAGTCTATTTGTAAATAGTTCTACACTAATATTGTCTTACACTACTTGATGCAAAGTAGCCATCATCGTTTTTACTATTGAGTAACACTAAAATTTACAATGGCAGTAATATATGATACATAAAAGTAAAGTTATTTTTAGAATACAACATAAAGTAATAAATCAATAATTTAGATTGCATATACACCATTTCTTAAAATCAGTTTGTAAATCAAACATACNCATAAAATACAGATACCGATTTTTAAAACCATTTATTGAGTGAAATGTAGCCATAAGCATTTTTTCTTGTTTGCTTCTTCTATCTCAGTTTCCCATCCCTAAATAAAGACCATCCCTAAATTTTTTTCGTACGCAAGACGAAGAGTAATAAAAAATAAAAGTTAACGCATTTTTCGTTATTACATATTTAATCATTTCTGTATTTCTTTTCATTGGTCATTTATTTTAATAATGTGTAATAAAACGGAGCAGTTCGGAAAAATTAGTTGAAATTGTTTGCAGTACGGATATAGTGAACTCCCGGTTATAGTGAACCGAAATTTCGGTCCCTTGAAGGTTCACTATAACGGGGTTTAACTGCATCTTATAATTTTGAAACTCAAGAATTTTTTTAGCTAATTCAAGTGATTAGTTAAATGTTAATAGAGTTTGATTTTTGGAAGAGGAATTTTAATCACTGTTGATTACAAAACAAAATCTTATGTTTGAAAAATCGCAGTTATTAAAAAAAAAGGATTTTAATCTTAACTCTAATTCATACAAGATTGATTTGTTCATTTACGTCGCACTAGAGTTGCATAATGGGCTATTGTCGACGGTCTGGGAAACATCCCTGAGGATGATCCGAAGACATGCCATCACAATTTTGATCCTTCGCAGAGGGGATGGCACCCCCACTTCAATAGCCCAACGACCTGCACGCGAAGTCGAGCATTTTACGGTAGGACAGTTTAACGAGGACCAATACTGCACACCCTAGGTCCCTACGCAGACTGGTCCAAGTGGTCACCCACCCGCAGCCAGTGATGCTTGACTTCGGAGATCTGCTGAAAACCGTGGCTTAACGATCAGTCCACTGCGGGACCTAATTCGTACAAATTTGTGAGGATTGAAATATAATTATTTAAAACGTGGCCAGCTTTGAGGTATGAGTTCTTTCAGGATTTCCTTGGAGATTATACAACAGTGAATGACTTACGGGAGTACAACTTACCGTGTGCATTAGTTCCTGGCACGAGTTTCCAGCCTTCATCAGTTTTGTGTACAGATTGGCAGTGATTTAAATTATAATCGAGTTCCAGGGGATTACTCTCTATATTTACCAAAACATCGTCGCTCTTTATGTCCACTACACGAGATTGCATTCTTCCAGCTGAGTTTCTTACTACTAGCAGTAGATATTGCGATCTGCACAGGTAAATGCTTAATGGTTCTTGCCTACGAAAGAAAAATTCGTCAGAATCTGGACACCCAGAATTTTATTTAACATATATCTGAATGCCTAGATCAAAATGTCATTTCCCAGTTAATCATAAATAGAGAAACTACGACAACTTGTCCTTAGGTATCAGGGTAAATAATCCATTATCAAAAATTACCTGAATTTGGTCATTGAAATTGCAAATATTGGACGGCTATGCTTAAATATTGAATGGAAAACTAATAACGAAGTACGTTTTTTTTATAAGTTTAAACGATTAAATATGTTGTGAAAGGCCTCCAAATACTGCTGCAAAAACATTGAAGCAACTAGGGATACATATTTGTGTTTTATATTTATCAACCAACTGCAAAAGTATTTTTATTTTAAGTGATTTAAAGTTAAAATAATTATATCTTGTACGAATAGAAACACGCTTCTATCAAACATATTTTTTTTTCTTATTTAAAAGGTGCTATTTGACAATACAATTCACTCGTTGCTGCAGCAATGAATTTCCCTTAAAAATAGTTTTGATTAAAGTTAAATATTTGAATTTTGTAAACATTTCAATCGAAGTTCGCAAGAAATTTAAGATATATTTTCACTAGATTCTATCTAGTCTAAATATCTCATTTAAGTGGTTAAAAAAAAACCTTAGAGCACTTTGCTTTATTGTCAAAAATTATTAAACGCTTGAAATATTGATTTTGCAATGTTTCGCAGAGTCGCAAAAAGTTAGGACAAATCAAATTTTTAGGGAAAAAAAAATTAAAAAATACCCCTCTATCTCACATTACGTTACGTTACTTCATTCAACTAGGTTTGATTGATACATGTTAAGTAACTTTTCCAATATATTTACAGAAATTGATTTAAAGAGAACAAAAGAAATAAATAAAATTAAAACAGACAAGCGTAACTACTTCAACTAAAATTTCATAGAACTGAAGTTTAATATCAAACACTTCGTTCAATATTCTTTAATGCATTTTACTCTAATTTTAAAATTAGTTACAGGATAATATACGAAACTCAGTAGTTTAACACAATTTTTTCTTCATGCTTCAAAGATGCATGTTTTTTAGACTAACCTAAAGTAACTGTGAATTTAAAGATACAAAGTCTATTTGTAAATAGTTCTTTCCCTACAAATTAGTGAACTTTTTGACATAATCTGAAGTTCAAAGATAAATCAGGAAATTATTAGATAAATTTCAATAACAATAGTTTCATCTTATAAAAACACTTCCAGACTTACCTCAAATTTTCGTAACAAGCAGTTCAAGTTTTCTCGTCTCAGGATACACAGCAATGAATCATAAACTATACATTTAATTCAGAAAGTACTGAAGCAATTTTAGTGCTGCCAACTGTGCTGCACAAAATTTTTTTTTCATAAAAAGGTAGGTATTTTATTTACGTCGCTGTTGTTGTTGTTACTTTACGTCGCACTAGAGCTGCACAATGGGCTATTGGCGGCGGTCTGGGAAACATCCCGGAGGATGATCCGAAGACATGCCATCACAATTTTGATCCTCCGCAGAGGGGATGGCACCCCCCGCTTCAATAGCCCGACGACCTGCGCGCAAAGTCGAGCACTTTACGGTAGCACATTTATTTACGTCGCAGTAGTGCTGCTAAATGGGCTGCTGTCGATGGTTTGGGAAACATCCCTAAGGATGACCGAAGAATTTTGATCTTCTGCAGAAGGGATCTCGTGAGGAGTTCTCCTCATTCGTGAAAAGAACGAAATTTCCCCCAGATCCCTGTTCTCTTGGTACTGCTCAGCAACCGACTACAGGACTTTCAATTCCACAAATTTTACGAGCATGTTTATCGCATGTACTCGGAGGTTCTTTTAGGGGATTTGATGATCTGACCGGAGTTCGATTCTCTAACCACTGGGCTACCACAGCCTTTCTTTCATAAAACAAGCAATCTCATTTCAATTTAGCAGTCCTCGTTAAACTGTTCTACCGTAAAGTGCTCGACTTCGCGTTCAGGTCGTCGGGCTACCGGGGGTGCCATCCCCTCTGCAGAGGATCAAAATTGTAATGGCATGTCTTCGGATCATCCCAAGGGATGCTTCCTAGACCGTCGCCAATAGCCCATTGTGAAGCTCTACAGCGACGCAAATGAACTACAACTACAACTCAATTTAGCAAATAAGGACTATGGCAGAGAGAAAGAGTAATGTCTCGAAAAAGCACAGGTTTGAGCCCCGCCGCGACTGAGGAAGTTCTGTGTTTATTGAAGGAAAAAAAAGTGTACAAATGCACAAGGCCTAAAAGACCCTTTTCGACTGATCGTAAGACACGGTTCCCAGCAAGCTTAGTCCCGCAGTGGACTGATCGATAAGACACGGTTCCCAGCAGATCACCGAAGTCAAGCATCACTGGCTACTCACGAGTTCGGTCCTGGTCACGACTTGGATCAGTCTGCGTAGGGACCGAGGGTGTGCGGTATTGGTCCTCGTTAAACTGTGCTACCGTAAAGTGCTCGACTTCGCGCGCAGGTCGTCGGGCTACCGAAGCGGGGGTGCCATCCCCTCCGCAGAGGATCAAAATTGTGATGGCATGTCTTCGGATCATCCTCCGGGATGTTTCCCAGACCGTCGCCAATAGCCCATTGTGCAGCTCTAGTGTGACGTAAATTACAGCAACAACAACAACAACAACCATCAAGCTTAGATGCATTATCAGAAAATGACAGTAAAATTTCTAAAAGAGCATTCGAAAATCCCACTTTTTACCTTTCAAACTATCAAAAAAAAATTCTAGTTGAGATTTTTTGGATTTTTGTTCTTAGTAGTCGGTGGGCCTTAGCGGAGTCGAGGATCGAGCCCCGGATTGGAGTCAGATTATCTAACCACTAGCTACCACGCCCCGCGACGTAAATAAAGTACTACTACTGATGTTTACTTATTTAAGTATTGTTATGTACACATGTGGGCTTGTGTGATAATTACAATGATGGGTTATAAATTCTAGATGATGGATTATAAATTCTAAGCAGATAGCACAAATTAGAGAAAGTTTGCAAAAAGATATATTCAAGATTGTAGTGGAATTCGAACCCGTTACCTCCATGTTGTGGAGCGTCTAGCGAAAGGAAAAGCTCTTCGACAATGAAGGCCTCTTGTTTGATATTTGTTTTATTTTAAATGTAAGCGCGTGTGTTGTGCTTAAAGTAAAAAGGTTGTTGTTGTTGTTGTTACTTTACGTCGCACTAGAGCTGCACAATGGGCTATTGGCGACGGTCTGGGAAACATCCCTGAGGATGATCCGAAGACATGCCATCACAATTTTTGATCCTCTGCGGAGGGGATGGCACCCCCCTTCGGTAGCACGACGACCTGCGCGCGAAGTCGAGCACTTTACGGTAGCACAGTTTAACGAGGACCAATACCGCACACCCTCGGTCCCTACGCAGACTGATCCAAGTGGTCACCCACCCGCACACTGACCGCAGCCAGTGACGCTTGACTTCGGTGATCTGCTGGGAACCGTGTCTTAACGATCAGTCCACTGCGGGAGGTTATAAATTCTAAGCAGATAGCACAAATTAGAGAAAGTTTGCAAAAAGATATATTCAAGATTGTAGTGGAATTCGAACCCGTTACCTCTATGTTGTGGAGCGTCTGGCGAAAGGGAAAGCTCTTCGACTATGAAAGCCTCCTGTTTGATATTTGTTTTATTTTGAATGTAAGCGCGTGTGTTGTGCTTAAAGTAAAAAGGATGTTTAGACAAATTAAAAAAATAATAATAGAGAGTTTAACAGTTTATTACAAAACTCTAAGCAAGTCTTGTGTTTTATGGCTTGTAGGTTGTAGTGAATACCGTTGCTATTGCTATTTTTTTAAAACCGAGTAGTCGAAAAAAATCAATATAAAATGTGTTTAAATTTGAAATACTGTAAATTTTATTTCTAAGTATGAATATAATACAGTTCAAAATGTTGATAAAAAACCTGTAAACGATTCTAGCCTAGATAGTTTTAATTTCTTGCTGATTTCAAAGTTTTTTTTTAAAATCTATTTTGTTTTAGTAAAGAAGATATATTTTAATAAATGACGCGTTCCATAAAATTTCGTTCTTATTGCTCTCGTAGGTTTTTGTTTGGTTATATATACGAATTGTTTAGCTTACAGACATTTAAATTGATTTTAGATGCAGCATATTACAGAAGAAAAATATTTTTATTTTTACAATTTACATTTTTTTTAAGGTTAGAACCTGTTCAATTCTTGTCAATTAATTATGCATTTAGACGCTATTTTTTCACGCTGTGATATTGTGTTTTTCCTGCAAATTAACTATTCAAGCAGAGAAACAGATTTATAGGTAGAAGTTTTAGAATTTGTTGTGTCCATCAAGTAAAAATTATGTGAGAATTCGAGAATTTGATTGGTGCAATTTAGGTAGAACGTTCAAATATGTTTCAGTGAGAATGTTCCCTAAGTTTTTGAAAAACTTAAATCAATTAATATCACATTTTACGATTTTAATATTTTCTGTTAATGGTTTTACGTATAGAATTATTATCCCACAGTGAGACGCGATTCCTAATAGATGTTGTTGCAGTTCATTTACGTAGCACTAGAGCTGCACAATGGACTATTGGCGACGGTCTGGGAAACATCCCTGAGGATGATCCGCAGACATGCCATCACAATTTTGATTCTCTGCGGAGAGGATGGCACCCCAACTTCGGTAGCTTAATGACCTGCAAGCGAAGTCGAGCACTTTACGGTAGGACAGTTTAAAGAGGACCAATGCCGCACACCCTCGGTCCCTACGCAGACTGATCCAAGTGGTCACCCACCCACTGACCGCAGCCAGTTATGCTGAACTTCGGTGATCTGATGGGAACCGTGTCTTAACGATCAGTCCACTGCGGGACAAGAATCTGTTGTATCGTTCAAGTGAAAATTATGTGAGAATTCGAGAATTTGATTGGTGCAATTTAGGAAGAACGTTCAAATATGTTTCAGTGAGAATGTATTCTAAGTTTTTGAGCACCCATAAATCGATTAATATCATATTTTACGATTTTAATCTTTTCTGTTATAATTTTACGTATCGAATTATTATCCCACAGTGAGACGCGATTCCTTATAGATCATTGAAGTCATGCATCACAAGCTGCTGTCAGTGAGCGCGTTAGTGACCACTTTAATCAGGTTGCTAAGGGACAGAAAGTGTGCGGTATTGGCCCATGCTAAACAGTTCTACCATAACATGCTTGACTTCACACCCAGGCGTCCAGCTATCAAGGTAGAAGTCACCTCCCCGCTGAGGATCGAAATTGTGATGGTGTGTCTTCAGACCATCCTCAATGTTTCCCATATCTTTGATAACAGATATGGGAGATATGGGATGAAAATTGTGATGGCGTGTCTTCAGACCATCCTTACGGATGCTTCCCATATCTTTGATAACAGATATGGGAGATATGGGATGAAAATTGTTATGGCGTGTCTTCAGACCATCCTTACGGATGCTTCCCATATCTTTCATAATAGATATGGGATCAAAATTGTGATGGCGTGTCTTCGGACCATCTTCACGGATGGTTCCCATATATTTGATAATAGATGAAACGGATGTTTTTCAGATCATGCATCTCTAATGCTTAGTAAAAAATTACTACTACTACTATTGAGTCGCTACTGTGGTTCATGGATAGAGCAGTAGCCTCCCAATGAGATGACCCAAGTTCGAATCTCAGCGGTGGCTAATTTTTACGAATTGTGCTCCCAAAACGCCTCAACTACAGTATTGACGTAAAATATCCTCAGTTATAGAAGTATCAGGGGTTAGAAAGTCCTTGTTCTTGGAATAACCATAGGAGATTTTTGTTCTTTTTCCTTACCACGCAACGCAAATGAGGGTTAGTTCCATTAAAAACGCCCTCCACGAAGGCTAGTTTGTCCCAAAGACGTCCAATTCAGGAGTTTTCTAGTCTTCTTTGCTGGCTTCAAAGCTGAAAGACTTCCGAGTTGAAAAATGATAGTCGTAAACACAGAATTAGGTCTGCTGTTCAACGCCGCTTACAATATAGTTTAATACTACTACTTATAGTGCTGGAAAATATTTTCATAGAGAGACATTATTAAAAAAAGAATTTTGACACCACGTAAAACCATGAACTGGATACTTCAAAACGTCTGCATTCAAACGATTGTTTACATTTTTAAAGGTGTCTAGGTAATTTTAAAGGTTTTTTTAAACTCAGAACATAATGCGAAAGAGTCCCGCCTAAACTGAACTTTTTTATTTAACAGAATTTAAAAGTTGCCATAGCGCTAATGTTTCCTGCAAACAAAATTTTTTCGATCAATTGGGAGTTCAGTCTACTACAGCAGAAATCAGACTTTTAACAATAGACATTAAAAGCTTATTAATAAATTGCATAAAGCTGAAATATTTATTAAAATACTAAAAATTATTTTAAAATATATAATAGGCTCGACAAATATTGAACATATTTCCACAGAACAGTTACTATGAGTCTGAAGGTTTGAGGACGGCATAGCCTTCGGTAATTGTCTTTTTGCTATGTGGCTGAATAGGTCTTCCGGGTCCACTTGCTCGTCCAGGGGAGGGCAGCACCGCATTGACCTGAGAAAGGAAATCAAATTAGAGACCGCAGTTTTCAAGTTTTTGCAATAAATACATCCTTAGGCATTTAAATGAGTTAATATTGCATTTATTGTTAATTTCTGAATTCTTTAGTGTTTCTTAGAAAAAATCCATTCATGAACAAAAGAGTTTTGGGCAATTTATGAAGGATTAAAATTTGGACAAAATATTAAAACAGGCATTTTTTTTTCAACTTTGTTCTCTATCACTGTGTCTAAAATCTTACCAGCCCTAATTGGTATTAAATTATCAAAATCTAGGCTAATTTAAGTTCAAACGTGATCCAATAGCCTAAGGCTGATTCCGTGGTTTTTCCCTGCATGTGGCTCATAATATTAATATATTTGATAAATTATTTTGCTGCTTTGGAAATTTTCAGCACTACCCTATGCATCCAAAAATTAACGAAAGGAAAAAAGACTTGTTCATAAATTTATTTTGTTTAAGTAATTAGTCTAAACACAAAAAAAGAAACAAATTTTAACAAAATTTTCCATGTTTTGTTGTCTACATTTTAAAAGACGTTAAGAAAAAATGTAAATCCGAACAAATATAGTATGCCTATATTTTATTCAGTTTTAGAATTTGGGGGCATGAGCTAACAATAGGGAAAAGGTATGAATTTCTAGCAATAGTTGAAAGGGGGGAAATGAGCTGAACTGAGTTGCAAACCACTGAGCTGAGTTGCAAACCACTGAGCTGAGTTGGAAGATACGTAGCTAAGTTGGAAGATACGTAGCTAAGTTGGAAGATGCGTAGCTAAGTTGGAAGATACGTAGTTAAGTTGGAAGATACGTAGTTAAGTTGGAAACCACTGAGTTAAGTTGGAGACCGCTGAGCTAAGTTGGAAACCATTGGTGAAAGTAAGTTTTGAATCTGATTTATTCAAACTACTCATAAGAAAAATAGTGTTAATCTAATTTTATTTAGTCACTCAAAAGGTGGGGAATTAAAATCTATTTTGAAGAATAATATACGAAAATTTTACCTGCTCATTTGATATCTCAATCGGTTTTTTAAAAATTATCCATGTTGTATTTTCTTCATTTGCTCCCACTATTTCGTCTTCATACATCCAGAAATCAAGTTTTTCTAGAATGGAAAAAAAAACTTATGGTTGAATTTTATATCAAAATTAATTGTGAAAGGAAATCAAGAAGCTATTCAACTTTTGTTAATGTTTACACACAAGACGATGCCTTTTTCCTTTTGCTCAAATTTTCAAATTTGTAAAAATGTTTCTAATAAAAGTGTTGACATTTTTTCCATAATCTATACTTAATAATAAATACACTCCTAAATAGTAATGCATTCTTATGTTATTCTTAATATATTAAAATTACTGAAAATTCTATATTTATATAATTTCCATTGAAAATTGAATTACTTATTATGTATATTATGTCATTTAAATCTAATGGAATTTTTGACATCCAACATAATGATTTTGCACATTTTAGAAATTATAAAATCTTATGATATCATTCTTAAATAAGCGCTTAATTTTACCAATCTAAATAATAAAACTTCCCAGAATATCATGCAGGTTTACACATCCGTTCGTAGACTTAATCTAAACGAAAGATACACCAGAGATTTTCAAGATTTCGTCTCAATTTTAGAATTTTATTGTTCGTATTCAGTTAACAAGTCAAAATCTTTGGCAGGCAGCACGCCGAAGGAGCTAATACGTACAAGAAGCTGATTCTCATACGTTTGCATTTGCATGCTCACATATTTGTGCATCCCTGTGCAAACGTATGGTAATTCGCCTCCCGTGTTCCTCTTGTTTTCATTGAGTTGACATACCAACTATCGCAACTCTATGCGTTTTTCCCGATAGCTCCCTCAGTGCACGGTCCATTATAACAACTCATTTTAAATGACTAAAGCAAGAAGTTCTTTAATTATTAAAATCTACTTGACTTGTTTAAGATACCCATAACCTTTAAGAAATACATGATTTGTTTAAGTTCTGCAGAAAACATTAAAAAAAATATATGTATATATACCTGGGAGCAAAGAGATTACATCAACATCATTTAAGTATATATTCTTATCTGTACAGCTAAGTTCTGGCATTTTGTTGGTAAATTTTGATAATTCGTTGTTTATTTTGCCTTCCTGTAAAAAATAAAATATATTTAATCTAAGATGTTGAAACTAGTTTTTTTCTCTCCTATCAATGCAAGAGCAGTAGAGTTTGAATATAAAGGTCAAAAAACTAGATGGCCTTAGTTTTTCAAAAAATACAACTATTTATAATTTCCTATAAATTATACTAAAAAATTATTAATTAAAAAAAGGAAATCACTAATTAAATTCTTTGCGTATTTTCCCCTTTGTGTGCGATAGATTTTTAGTAGTTTAAAAAGAAGAAGAATTATCCTCAAGGAAAAATCTTCAGTTCAACGACGATATGAAATCTTCGACTAAAAGATTGCAAGAAAAATATCCAGTGCGAAGAAACTTCTAAAAAAATTGACAAACTAAGAATAGTAACACAAGTCTTAATAACTAAGACTTGTAGTCCACCTCCGGTAGAAGGTTGCTTTTTTTTTAGAAAATTTATTCCAATTCGTAGAATCAGTCAGGGGCACACGAGAAACTTAATTTGCTAAACTATCTCTTTAGAGCTATTTTGAATAAGTTTATTCAGTTCGAAATTATTCTAAAGCTAAAATTTAGAATTTGATCAATATTTAAACACTGAATTCTTTTTAAATTATTTATATGGTTAAAAAGATTAAACCAGAGATTCCGTTCTCGGAATGGTGGCAGATAGATTTGCTTAATTTATTAGTCTGCTTCCAATAGTATTACTAATATAATTAATTAGCGTGGTCTGACACCTATGAATTCAAAATGTTCAGTCTTAATTTACTGTCTTTTGTTTACCCTCAACCGATTCAGTTTTGCATTTTTCTTTTTAGAAAATGAACTCTAAGTTTTCCCTTTTCCAAAGAGCTTTTGGGCAAGTTTACGGGCAGCGCGAATCGTGGCGTTTTTGTACTATACATGTGACCAGACATATTCCGTAACGCTGTATTGATGGGTTAAGGCTGTTTCTTGAAAACTATCTTACAAAATAAAGTTTTCAGTGAATAATATATTGTGAGTTTGTAGCAGGTTATTATTTCAATTTTCCCCATCTTCAGCCGGTTTTCTTTATGCTGCTTAATATGAAAGTGGTGAAAATTCCGAAATGAAAAGCCAGATTTGGTAAAGTTAATGATTTTTTTAAAAATGTTTATTATTTTGAATAAATGCTTCAAATTTAATATTTGAAAAGTTATTCTCAGGTCTACATTGTTTAAAATCATAAAAATATACAAAATTTCAGTATCATTCATTGACTTTAATCAGAATCATCTAAAAATAAGTTGAGAAATATTGCCAATTTGGCAAGATTTTTAAAAGTTCAACAGTCATTTTTAAACTGTTAGCCCAGTAACTGTTAAACTGTTGTTTTTAAACTGTAACTATTTTAATGTACAGAGAATTCATCCCAGTAAGACACTATAGTTTGAAATTAAAGCTTTTATTAGAATTTAAGCACATGAAACGCTGAAAAAGATCTGAAATATCAAAATGCAAACAAATTATTGGAAGAGAACTTCCCCGTTGCTCAGTCCTGTGTTTCATGGTTTAATTTCTTGAAAATTTAATTTCAGTATTTGAAACTTCATGGTTTATTCTAAGTTGGCCTGAATTCACTTTTTCTAAACTGTAATTTTGAAATTACTTATAGAAGTGAAAGAATTTGTGATAAGAAAAATTCTCTCTAGGTATAGTATCCTCTTCAGTTCCTTCTCATTCACGCCTAGCAAGTCTTGAAATGGCGCTTTTTTTTCTTTTTTAAGAAATAGAGGTTGAAACACGTCAACTGTTATTTTTTATTTATGTATTTCTGAAGCGAATGAAGTTTTTAATCAAGTAGCAACCTGTATGCACATTAAGGATTAAAAATTTTACAAAAATAAACTCACCTCTAGAAGAATACAAATGACGGTCTTGTGGACAGGCAAGATTTTGTTCAATTCATCTGGTCCTAACTTCCGAGAAAAAGAATTATGAAGAAGATGCAGCTGAAAGCGTTTAAAATGTCATTGATTAGCAAGAACTAGCTGAATATTATCCGTTCTTAGTACGATAGTACAAAATGTATAAAATTAAAAGGATCATGCGCGAAACTGAAAGACTATTAGAAACAATTAAAAAAACCAAAATTATTTCTTATAATTAGTTGCCTTTTTTGGTAGTTTTGCAATAATAGATTGAGAAAAACATGTTTAGATGTTCGAATTCTCTGTTGAGATGTTCAAAGATAAGATAGAAAACTCAGTTCAATGCTCCATTATACGCTGCTCTTCTTTCTCGATCACCTATAGGAGCCATAATTAGAGTATCGTGTAAAGTATGCCATTGCTGGAAAAATTCAAGCTCTTTCACCAATAAGTGGAATGACAGTATATGCCGTTACTATAGCAACGTTTATGCTTGAAATTTCCACAGCAATTTTAAAAAGAATAGAAATTAAATAATTACATCGTTACTGAGTTTTTATTTCTATTAAAATACAAAAATAATGTAAATAAATGCATAACGTTTAACAAGTTTCTTAACACTACTTAAATTATTACTAAAGACAACAAAATTAGTTATAAATAGTGCGGCCAATAAATAAATATCAGAGCCATGATATGAGTAAAATAGTGCCAGACTAGAGAAATATATAGGTTGTGAAAATTATCTACATTTCTAAAATAGTTTAATAATTTTGTTGCAGCTATTAGTTCAAATAAATTAGAGGTTTTCGGTTCAAAATAAAATAAATTAAGAAATAATTTTTCTCTGTTAACTTTCAACGTTTAAAAGAGCTGTTTCTGAGAACCATAATTCAGGTTAGTTTATTCATTTTCAACACATGCATACGCCAGGAGTAAATTCAGTATTACGTATTGCATTTTTTACATTAAATATTTTTAAAAACTCAGTAGTCTGAATTTATTTTTATCCCGTTAGTATACGCACAGCTGTTAGTAAACCTTTTTAAAATAATGATTGAAACTAAGAGTTCCATAGCCGGAAGTAATTTGGAACTGCTGGTGTAAAATACAAAATAACGTAGTTTTCAGGATATTTCACGACATTCGGTTTACGTCATAAGTTACAAAATGATTTAAAATAATGTGATCGCGGATTATGTTGTGATCAAAATGATCACGACAAAGGTTACTAAATGATTTTACATACAATTACGAAAATAATTTGTAAATACAAAATAAAACAAAAATTAAAGCTATCACCTCTCCGGCATACTCTTTCCCATCCACAGAATGCCTACGGCATGATTCCAGGCATGAATCCTTCACCATGTGGCCATGAATCTCGTACAATGTGTAAGAATGTTTCAGAGGGCCATGATCCAATACTAACGAAAATACATAAAACAAGCAAGAATAAGTTATTTACATTGGTAAAAGTGTGCTTCTCTTATGTTGTTACTTTAGTTACTACGTTTTTTTAAAGGCAAAATTAAAAGTAAGAAGACATTGAAAACTGTTTTACATTAATTCGGGCAATNCAATGTGTAAGAATGTTTCAGAGGGCCATGATCCAATACTAACGAAAATACATAAAACAAGCAGGAATAAGTTATTTACATTGGTAAAAGTGTGCTTCTCTTATGTTGTTACTTTAGTTACTAAGTTTTTTTAAAGGCAAAATTAAAAGTAAGAGGACATTGAAAGCTGTTTTACATTAATTCGGGCAATCCTTGATAATTTCTGTGTTAAACACAATGTAAAAAAAAAAACATCATTGATGGACTTAAATTTCGATATTTCTCCTTTCTAAATTATCGAGACCATATTTTCCAGATAGCCTTACCCATATCTTGAAGGTGAAAAATCTAAATCTGGGAAAAAAACAGGAATTCAAAGAATATATGTTTGTTTTTAAACCAGATTTCATAAACTAAAATATAGTTTCCACAAATTAGCATATTTCAAATCAGCGGCCTGAAACATTTAGATTGCGTGAAAGTCCCATCATTAGATAAGAACAGTTATTCTGATTTTCATTTTCCCCACTTTATTACATTTTACTTATTAAAGTGCTTGAATTTAGAAAGAAAAAAAACTCGATAAGGTGATATGCGTTTTAATGCGAGATATTTCGATATCCTTCTAAAATTCTGAAGTAAATCTAATATTGAAAATTTAAGATTTATTGAACCTGCAAATGCTAAAGCGCTGCTTCATTTTAAGCTGGTGGAAGTTTATTCACATCATTATGTTTCTCACGGATAATGTACGTAATAATGCACCTTTCATTATTACGCAACTAATTTCAAATATTTCAAAATATGAAAACTTCTTTCCTTCCTTTAAAGAATGGAAATTATCAAGACATTTTATAAAAAATAAAATAAACCTATTAATCATTTCCTTCTCGCTCCCGTGAAAATGACGGGGTGATGTTTCGCCCTCTATTTCTCGCTTCCGTGATATTCCCGGGCTGGAGTGTTCAGTAGTATAGCGCCAATAAGAATAAAACTAATTCATTTCTTTTGCCCGGTAAACATTTTATTTCTCATTTTACACACCAGATGGCAGTACTAGGATATTTTTAAGGTAATTGTAGGTAGTTTACTTTAAACTAAATGTCAGTACTAATCAAATACGTGTATAATATAAATGTATAAAAAAAATAGGCACTTTTATGACAGTTTTCTTGAAAATTAACAGATCGTTAAGGGGTTAAATCTAAAATCCAAATTCGACAGTGGGAATTTTTTAATAGGGCAATTTAACTAGAAAAACTGGACTCTTCACTTTGTTGCCTTCAGAAAATCATTATTTCCACGCAACTGTCCGGAAAAAGTTAACCCTTAACGGTCTTTTAGTATTTCAAACTTACTTGTCACTTTGTATAAGCATAATTATTAATACTAATTATAATATTGGTTATAACTAGAATGCAAATATAACAATTTTGCTAATAAAATAATTTTCCCCAACCTATTTGTAGCAGTAGACACAGTAAGTAAAAGGGACATGCCACTAATATGGCGGTATTAGTCCGTTNTCAGTAGTAACGCGCCAATAAGAATAAAACTAATTCATTTCTTTTGCCCGGTAAACATTTTATTTCTCATTTTACACACCAGATGGTAGTACTAGGATATTTTTAAGGTAATTGTAGGTAGTTTACTTTAAACTAGATGTCAGCACTAATCAAATACGTGTATAATATACATGTATAAAAAAATAGGCACTTTTATGACCGTTTTCTTGAAAATTAACAGATCGTTAAGGGGTTAAAAATCTATAATCCAAATTCGACAGTGGGAATTTTTTAATGGGGCAATTTAACTAGAAAAACTGGACTCTTCGCTTTGTTGCCTTCAGAAAATCATTATTTCCACGCAACTGTCCGGAAAAAGTTAACCCTTCGGTCTTTTAGTATTTCAAACTTACTCGTCACTTTGCATAAGCATAATTATTATGACTAATTAGAATATTAGTTATATAACTACAATGCAAATTTAACAATTTTGTTAATAAAATAATTTTTCCCAACCTATTTGTAGCAGTAGACACAGAAAAAGTGACTTGCCGCTAATACGGCGGTATTAGTCCGTTATGGGTTAATAAATAAAAGCATGCTGTAAAATCGCATCGAATCTTATCAAATCTTTCATCGAAGTTCCCGGTAATGCTGCTATATGTATCTATATCCTTACCTATGATAAGAGAAAGCGCTTAAAGCTACGGATCTTTTCAAAAAAAGATCATTCTCACTGCATCTGGCTGTCCTACTAGCGTATACAAATGTTTTGTTAGAGGAACTGCTCTCTTAGCGAAAATGGCCCCAGTGACTTAAAATATCTTCAAAATTTGACTATCAAAATTTTTTAAAAAAGGTGAATGACATTTTTCTGATCACTTGAATTTGTCAAATCTATTTAAGGAGAGCCCGTAGTGGCTAAGAAGATAGATCGCTAGCCTCCCAATGAGGTGCCTCTGGTTTGAATGATAGCGATAATTGGACGATGGTTATTTCTGCTCCTGGCTCTCACCGAGCACAGTGCTGACGTAAAATATCCTCGTTCGTAGACGGATCATGGGTTAGAGTCTCCTTGCCATCAGGCTAACGGTGGAAAGTTTATAGTTTTCGCTCCATCTAACGCAAATACGGGTTAGTTCCATCAAAAAGTTCTCCACGAAGGCTAATTTCTCTCCATAGCATACTTGTACTCTGGATTAGGTTCAAAATTGCAAGGCTACAGAACTGAACATTGATAGTCGTAAATTCAAAATTGATTCCGTTAATTTTCTAATCGCGCAGTTCCTTCTTAAAAATATCAAACTTCTTTAAAATTAAATTTATTTGCAAAAAGAAAGAATGAAACTTTTTCTTTTTACCCTAGTTCATACAAATTTGTCGATTCAAACTGAATTATTTAAAATGCGTTTTAAGTTTGACACACGAGTTGTTCCAGGATTTCCTTAGAAATAATACAATAAAAACTGCTAAGTTTTTTTTTTCGTGAGTGCAACTTACAACATGTAAAGGATCCAGCTTCAATTTTCCAGCCTTCCTGAGTCTTGCATAAAACACCATTGAAGTAATTTAAATTATCCAACTGAAGAGGCTTAATATCTATGTTCACTGATACATCACTGGTCTTTATATCCACCACATGAGATTGCATTCTTCCAAGAGATATTTTTTCTACTAGAAATAGTTGTCAGCGACAGAGAGAGGCCTGTGGGGAAAAAAATGTCACCATGAATACTCAGACGTTGAATACTGAACAACGTTTGAGTATTCACCGTTGTTCAATATTTTTTCTACAGTCTAGAACCCAAAAGGTGTTCTGTGGTAGCCCAACGCTCCATGGATGGGTCTCTAAAGTTGGAATGCTTTTTTTTAAACCAGTAATTCCATTCACATTGCATCAAAAACCCATTATTTATTTAGTTTTTTGGTCATTTTTTTAAATAAATAAAATGCCAGTGAAAAAGGAAATGACAATTCTTTTAAAAATATTTTCTCGCAAAAATATGTGTTATAATGTAAAGGATATGAATTTATAAAAAATTGCGTGCTGTTGTTGTTGTTTCTAATGCTATTTACCAATACCAGCAATCTCGTTTGGTGAAATCAAGCAAATTTAAGGCAGAGTGTGGGTTTCGTGTTTTTCAGTGACGCCCTCTATGGCCATGAATACGACTTTAGCCACACACAAATCACAACCCGTTAATAGGGACTCGGCGCAATTTTAACTTGAACCAGAGAACGATGAATCTCCAATTTCAGTACCCCCAGAGGTATGATTTGTTATGGGAACATGGAGGACTTTAGGACAAGACAGATTTAACGTGCACCAGTCACCATTTATTACACGGGGATTCATCGGCAGGCAGGGATCGAACTCACAACCCCTCGGACATGAGCTCAACGGTCTACCAACCAGGCTATCCCCTCCCAAAAAAATCTATTCAAAATCAAATTACTATAAATTCGACAATACAGAAATATGTATCCCCGATAACCATTTCAACATTTATAATGGTTCTTTTTCTTGTTCACCCCCCCTTAATTAAGCCTTCATTTATATATTGCATGGTCCAAAAACAAATTAGAACTAGCTTAGGTGCCGCTATTTTACCTACGAATTCATTTTTTTGGAATAAGCCTAATTTTAAGAATGTTACTGACATGACGAACCAATTTTCAATCTTCATATTAAATATTTTCAAAATAATTAGTTATTTTTCTTTGTTAATGTGTTCACAATTTCTGATGAATTTTAATATATGAATTGTGGGGGTTCCGCCAAGAGTCAACTATTTAGGGTTCTCTAGCTGAAAGGGAATTCGGAACCTCTGGTCTATACTTTTTTCGTAAGCAAGAACCCAAAAAGCATTAAATACTCAGACGTTTCTAGGATTCTTGCTTGCAGGAGAAAACGAGGATAGCATGTATACTCTTTTGTTTGCAGGGTAAAAAGACCCATTGCAACGCTATCTACAACCAAAATCAGTCTTTATAAAATTTTAAATCATTTTGAATACGAAACCAAATATTCTATTTGATGAGCAAAATGACCAACTAGTTTCTTAAAACTACTAATCGACTTTTGAAAACTTCTTTTGAACGTTTCTCGTTATGGGACACATCTTAATAAGTATTTATTTGTAAGTGTGCTTTTGAACTTAATTTCATCCTCAAAAAACTACCATCTATTTATTAACAAAACTGTATTTTGATTGCTGGTTTTTGTCTGTAGGCGACTTTGAAGTAAGATCTTTTAAACGAGCATTTTCTTTGAAAATAATATTCCAATAAAGCATTTTAACAATAACGTGAGCTCTAGAACAAGGGTTTCCAACTTACATGAGGCTTAAAACCACACTTAAAAACACAAGTCAAATGGCGGGCCGCAACTTTTATTTTATATATTACTCTTTTATATTTAAAGGAACATTAAACATACCGTCAAATTTTTATGAAGTTGCAAAAAACAAAAGTATTGAATTACGAATTAAAATAAGAAGTAGATTTTTAAAAATGTTTAATTGCATGTTAAAAAATTCTGGCTACAATAGCTTTAATGCGCACCTATGCATTAAGCAATTAATGTGCAACAGATATCTAATTGTTAAGATATAAAACTTTAAAAAGGTTGGTATTAAAACTTACATAGTAGCACACAAAATGTTCTATGAGAGAATTGAGGTTTGTCTGCTGCAACCACCAGAGAATAAATATTTACATTTTAAACTTAAAATTTACAGATGCAAATAATTTCGTCCAAAATGAGTGGTTTCAAATCGTTAAATCGGAGAATTTCTTCAAGAAAATTTCTAATACGTACATGCTAAATTATATTCACCAAAAAAAAAGCAACATACATGATTATTTTCGCATTTGAATAAATATTTTTTTGGATGCAAAACCTGAGAAGATTTTTTTTTTGCACCGTTGGTAAGTTAAATTTCACAGAAATGAAGAAATTCGGTTTTTTTAAACGAAAAAAGTATTTTAAACCCATATAGAATTTTTACGAAAATTGTCCGCAAAAAACTGACAACTAATATATTTTAGTTCAAAAAAAGGCTTCGTGGGGCGGATGCGGCCCGCGGGTCGCCAGTTGGTAACCACTGCTCTAGAAGTACCCATCCACGGAGACACTTCAAAATTTTAATTTCCCTTAAATTTCCAGATTTTAATATTTATTATTAACACATATCCGTCTGCATGACAAGAATTCCATCCTTTCGCAGTAAATTACTAATCGAAAAAGGACGAAAATTGGCAACTTAAATTTTGCAGTAAATAATTGAAATATAGATTGAAAAACACTAATAAAGTCAAAGTAGATTTCATTTTACAAGTTCCTCCCCATTTTTTTTTTTTACGTAAGACAACTGAATCTTTTTGGCAGATAATAAAATGACAGTAAATAGGCAAAATAATAAAATTAAAATAGCTAGGGACAATCATTTATGTTTTATATATCAATCATTTTAAAAAGTGTTCTAAGACTTTATTTTAAAGTTAGACAAGTATTTTAAAGTTAAAAGAATTGTATCTACATCTGAAATACTTGTACATACTATCAACAAAAGCCTAATTCCAAAGTTGCTATTCGATTATATAAAAAGCTTTCTTACTTTGGTTTAAACTGTAATTTCATTAACAGAACAGATTTAAATATAAAGAAATGTAAGGTAAAGAGTTTACTTAAATTTTATTTCAAAAATTTAAGCTTGAAATATATGTATTTTTTATTAGTTTTTATTTTTTACTAGTTGCTCACCTTTTAAATATTTTCATTCAAAAATGTGCCAATTGTTTTAGCAAAAATATGTTTTAGTTTGCTTTGAGAAATTTTTAATTGTTCGCGCTTCAAAAAATAAATAAATAAAATAACATTGTTTAAGGCATTAATTTCAATTATATTTATATACAAAATATAATGCAAAAACTTGTATTTTTATACAGTTAGTTTAGAGGACAATTTTGTAATTTATTACTACTGTTCCTGTTGCGTTTTAGTTATGAGACTACAAAAAAGAAAATACTGATAAAACATCCAAAGAGTTGTTACTTTTGAACGCATGTTTGCCATTGTTTGGGTGCAGATTTTAATGACAAAAAAGCAAAAAGCTACTAAACTGCCTAAATCAGAAAAGGTAATTCATAATATAGTTGACAAAAATCAAATAATGTTAGCAGAGTATGAAAATAAAATATATAAAATACAACGATAAATCAGACACCCCGGTCACAAAGAGCTTTTGAGAAGCAGAAATTAGTAACCCATGTTTTGTAGCTTAATAAAAAAAAACATACATTCACACAAACTTTCATTCAAACATTCTTTCACGTGCTTCATTTAGTGGCAACCTCATTTTACAAACCTTTGTAAACGCAATAGCAATTTGACATTTATTGAAAATTGCATCGTATAAAAAATATAGTCATACAATTTAGTTTTTCAAACTTTACTTCAATTTATTTTTTGTCAGAATAAATTATTTAAAGATACAGTTACATAGAGTATTAAACTGCACCGAATTTTAATTGCCAAACTCGATGAAGTTCTAATCAATTATGCAACAGTAAATCTACTCTAATAAGTATTGTCTAAAAAAATAGTAAATTCTATTTTTGAGAATTTACTTTGTATTACGCTGTCACCCCAGCGTCACGTTAAAGCTCATTTGTTAACTTCATTCAAGCTTTAGAATATTGTATAAACATTTAAAAGTTTCGTTCTGCAGGCAAAAACTTGTTTTTCTTTAACTGAAATTTTATTATAACAGATTTCATTTGAGAAACAATTTAGATTAAAGTGTTGAATGTTGATCGCAAAAATTGACTAATTTTTACCTATGAATTCAGCAAAAATGAAATATGCAGATTAAGAGAAGAAAAAACTTAGAAAGCTACTGAAATAAAAAATTCAAACATATAAGTTTAATATTAGAACTAGAACCGAAATATCAAAGGATTGAGATTTGAGCCTTTAATCTTAAATTCTCCATTCAATATTCTTTAATGAATTTTATACTAATCTTAAAATTAAATGCTATCTTCAGAAACGCTGATAAAACGCTATTTCATTTCTCAAATATGCATGATTTTTTGTTGTTGATAAATCTTAAGTAATTTTGAGTTATAGCATAGTAAGCTAACTCTATTCATAAATGGTTTTTTACCTTCGCAAAATAACGAAAATTTTTATATAGCCTAAACATTAAAGATAAATATTGACTCTATTAAATGAATTATAATCACTTCTCTACTTACTTCAGTAAGGCAAGCTTTTGCAACAAAGCAGTTCAAGTTTGATCGACGAAGGTTCACAACAGTAAACTACAAACCATATAATCAATATAATTAAAAAAATGCTGCTAAAATTTTGGTCCTCCCAACGGTGAGCATCAAGAATTTCTGTTACAAAGACAAGTGTTGTTGTAGTTCATTTACGTCACACTAGAGCTGCGCAATGGGCTATTGGCGACCGTCTGGGAAACATCCCTGAGGATGATCCGCAGACATGCCATCACAATTTTGATTCTCTGCGGAGGGGATGGCACCCCAACTTCGGTAGCTGGACGACCTGCAAGCGAAGTCGAGCACTTTACGGTAGGACAGTTTAAAGAGGACCAATACCGCACACCCTTGGTCCCTTCGCAGACTGATCCAAGTGGTCACACACTGACCGCAACCAGTGATGCTTGACTTCGGCAAAAACAAGTGGTCTTAGCTGATGAGAACCAGAATGGACAAGAGATTAATGCTCCGAAAAAGCGCAGATTTGAGCCCGAACTGACTGAAGAACCTCTGCGCTTTTTGAAAAATATCTTACTAACTTCACCCGTCTCAGAATACCCTGTTCCACAGTAGACTGATTGCAAGACATTGTTCTCAGATGATCATCGAAGTCAAACACCACTGGCAGTGATCAGTCTGAGAAGGAACCGAGTTTGTGTGGCATTGGTCGTTAAACTGTTCTACCGTAAAGGGGGTGACTTCACTCCCAGGTCGTCGAGCTACCAAAGAGATGAGCCTTCTGCTGAGGATCAAAATTGTGATGGCATGTCGCCCGAACACCTTCAATGATGTCTCGCATCATTGAAGAAGTTCGGACCAACACCATAGCCTACTATGTAGCTCTAGTGTGATTGAAATAAAGTACTACTACTATTACCTAAAATACCCTAGTTACATTTATCAATATCCTACACAGTTGTTATGAAAAGTAACTTTTACAAGTCGTCCTACTTTAGTTGCTCACTGAAGGTTCAGAAATTTTCGGAGACGTGCCATGATTTTACATTTCTGGGACGTCGGGAGAGATATGAACCATTTAGCTCCTGCCCATGCCGGCTTCTTACAAGCGAAAAGCAGACAAGTGATTTTTTGATGAAGATAAGTATATTTCTTAGCGCAATTTTAATTAACTATCATAAAATCTCAATCAATATTTATCCAATGTTAAGAGTGACTGGAGTCTCGCGGATAAAGGGTTCCTAGCGCCAAATGCTCTGAACAACGGTTGTAGCAGGTTTGATTCTAAGATTTATTCTTTGATCAGCAAAACGTAATTCTGTAGGCTTCTATGTAGGTTCTAATTATATAGGTAAGTTTTTGTCAAATTGAACAATAGAAAGTTCGTATTATAAAAGAACAACACAGGAAAACATTCACGGATAAAGCGCGAATCGAGCATTTGGAGGAAGGACAAAACCCTTCGGCCATGGATTTTCCTCTCTTTGTGGTGTTTTCTTAATTCGTGCTAGCTGTTGACAGTTTGAGTTGACGATGATCTGCTTGCTTTTCACCTTTATCTTCTGTGCTTTGAGGTAGGTAGGTACTTTATTTACGTCGCAATACAGCTGCGCACAGAGCTATTGGCGATGGTCATCCCTGAGAATGATCCGAAGACATGCCATGGCAGCTATGTCCTCTGCAGAGGAGATGGTTCCCCTGCTTTGGTAGCCCAATGACCTGCGTGCGAAGTTGAGCATTCTACGGTAGAACAGTTTAACGAGGACCAATACTGCGCACCCTCGGTCCCTATGCAGACTAATCC